CTATTCAATCTTAAGTAATTGTTTTTCGTACAGTCAATGATTGACTCTTGTTTGTATTACAAATACAACACAGAGTGATTAAGCTAACAGGATCTTTGCATCATCTTTTTTCTGTTAATTCCTACTCGATTAACCGATTGAAGTATGGGAATGATTGAGAAATGATTACGGTGGAGTGAGTATCATTCTTATTTTTGTTATCATGAGTCTAATTGATTCATTAACTGTTATTGTTAGTATTCGATTCTCACAAAAATAATCTATTCTTATTTTCAAAAATATTTCTACACTGACGTAATCCACTCTATTTGTAGGGAGTATAATAATGACTGATATTTGCTGTTTGAACTCGAACCTATAGCCAATACAAACTTATAAATCTGTAATTGAAATTCTATATCATGTCGCATACAACTAATGAAAAAACTATGTTGCGCATTAAACGCAAATTACTTTCGTTAAATATTCACTTTTCTCTTTGAACAACCACTGTATTATTTAATGGCTTTTCTATGCATGATTGTATACAAATGCGATAGATAGATATTAGATTTCAATAATCTCAAATACAGATTACTGATATCAGTAGGGTATATAATCACTTTTCTTATTCTATTTTCGAAAATTATAACTTGTAATGTCAAAGACAATTAACTCTTGCTTATTTTTATTTCCGAAAACGATATTAAACAATATCATGTTTCCAAAGAAATTTATATATATTTATAATTGTTATCCATAGCTTTCAAATTATGCTTCTTTTTGCTATGTTATTCGCATCTGTTCCATTTCAAACTTTGTTCATTTTATTTTTCAACTCACACGTATTCTTCCCTTTTTATATTGTTTTGTTTAACAAAATCGTATTCTATTACCAACAATAGTTAGGCATATAATCAACCTATTATTGTGCAATATTTTTTAGAAATATATTCATATTAGAAGAAACATCTATTATTATAGCCACAACACAAAGAATACTTCTAACTGACTTCCTCGTTAAATATCCAAAAGCATATGGTAACTTGATTTTACGAATAATTGGAATACCTAATCAATTTATTATTTGAATATGTTATTTACCTTCCAATGTTAATGAACGGTGCTTAATGAAACTTCCTCCTGATGATTTCAGCGATACTAAAGAATGCAGATCTTATGTGAAAAGAGTAAAATGTGCTACTTCTTAGTATTATCGATGATGAAGTTTTTTGACCACACAGTGCATATTCACCAAGTCTTATCCATTGTAAGGACTGAAGATCTATTAATGATGTACCATTAGTATTTAATGTATTTACTTTCGATCTTTACGTTTTTACAATTCATAAATGCGCCATTACCTAAGTAAATATGTTGTAGATTTGGAAGATCTAATCACTCAGCACTCTTACATCTTTATCATTACTTCGAATTATAAATGAACTCCATAAGAAGTTATTTGAATCTTGTTGAAGCGAACCTATTTTGATTGATATTAATGAGTTCAAGTTATACAAATGAAACTGTCCTCCAAAATCACTGAAACTGTATCGATCTATACTAATTGATCGCAAATTTTCACAATTAGATATATATGCTGATTTCCTTTTGTTATTAGCTCGTTTATTATTCCAGTGGTTTTCAGGTGTCTCAGTAAATGAGTTAGTACCTATATTCACATACATCAGGGTATCCAGCCTATCGAGTTTGAATATGTCAACATGGCTGAAACAACCACTTCCAATAACCAAATTGTTTAGGTTACACAAGTTTCTTAATCTAAATACGTAAGAAGACATAAATGCTCTATCTCCGATTTTAAAACCGAAAAGATTGGGTAGGTCTATGGATTATTTATTCAATGCTATATCAATACCTTCTAATACGAATGAACTGCCAGGGAAATTGTATGATTCATATCCGATGTTACCAATTCGAATGGAGAATAATTTTGGTAAATTTCTTAACACAAATTGTCCTCCAAAATCACTGAAACTATATCGACCAATCTCAATGGAATCCAATGACTCACAATTCAATATGTGGAATGATTTACATACTTGATTTCCCCAGCCATAGCATTTCTGAGTAAATGAATTGCTTCCGATTTTGATAGTTTTCAATCGATTCAATCCATCGATTTTGAATGTTTGCACTGATTTAAAACAATCATTACCGATTTCGATTGATTCCAAATTATAAAACCACGAAACATCCAAATCAACCAATACACATTTGTCAGTCAGTTTCAAATGTTTCATTCCAATATTCAGTGGCTTGCTTCCATTTCCTTCATATGCGACATCAGTATCACTTTCAATTCCATTGTACCATTCACATTCTTTCACTAACTTGCCTGATAGATCATAGACTTTTCCTCTTCCAAATCGATTATCATCACACCAATATCCTTCATATTCAATCAAACCATTATTATGATAACTCGTTCCATATCCAAATCGTTTCCAATTGATCATTATGCCCTTGTACACCAATATTCCATCATCATCATACATTTCACCATATCCAAATGGAATTCCAAACTTGTTTTCTGCCAATATCAATCCTTCAAATCGACTTCCATGATCCAAATCCACGATTCCTTCTACTACTCCTTCTATGGATTGTTCTTCATTATATGAAATAGAACCAAATTGATGATTTCCAAACACTTTCAACACCTTCTCATCATTGACGACAAATCCTTGATTCATGAATACTCCATTATCGAACTTCAATACTACACAATCTCTAGTACTCATCATCAATAGAACCCAGCCATCAGGTTTCATGCTCTTTCCCACACAAGCTTGAATCCATTGAATCAGCGAACTCTCAATACGATAGTTATTAACAGCAGTATTAACGTAATCAGCAATCTTTTGCATCGTGTTACTTACAAAAAAGAAATATGTACAAGTTTTTAAATACATTTCTCACAATCACGTGATTTAACTATTTTGAATACTGGTGAGTATTGTTGTATATGCTTATTTACGTCATTTTCACAATCACTCCTATGGGTAATCACTGTTTTTGCATTTTCACAAGTAGTTTGCTATTTCGTAATTGACGATTGTTTTGCACAGCATATAATGCTCATGCCATGTATGTTGATATCTTAACTATGGCATCATTACCTCGGTTGTTCCATTTCTCAACATACATACTCTCTACAGCTTTTCCGTATGCAACACACCTAATAATATCTCGCCGTTCTGCTATTTTCTCTCTGTACAAGTCTTTCTATGGATTTCACATATTATCACATTTTCTACTTAATGCTATATTCCTGTATCAAAATCCACCCCCGTTTTACTAAAAACAAAGTAAATGCTACACATCTTTTCAAACTTGAAAACTGCATTGTATTTTATTTATTTCCAATCATCTCTTCACCTATTCCTTTTTCTCATTTCTTATTGCCATAATAAACCATATTTTCGGAATTCCCAAAGTATATCAGTGGCGAAGCAGGATCATTTTGAAATGATTGCTTATATTCAAGCATTGTTATGGAAACCATTTTTGAAGAACCTGGGGAGGAAGGTAACTCCAAGGCTTGGAATTGGTGGAGTCATCTTCGACAAAGATACAAACGCTCGACCTACTGCATTCAAGACTGTATTTTCCTTTCTGTTTGTGTGTTGATATCGACGTCATTCTCTTTTTCCGTCATATCATCAAACTTGTTAGATGTGTTTTTCTACTTTTCTCATGAGAGCGAGTCTGTTGCTTCAGCCTACGTATTCCCTTTTATTCTCTCTTCTCTCTAGTCTCAGATCTTGGAAGACTTGCAATTTGCTTTTGTTGTAGTGGGTGGACTTCTAGCAGATTGTGTCTATGGAAGAGTTCCTCTGATGAACTATTCGTTCGTACTATACGCATGCTCTGTTTCAATATTTCTTCTCGTTCTTTCCTTCTGCTCGCCTTCGTTTATCATTATTTTCGCGATATCGTAGCATATCTGTCACCAATTGTCTCTTTAGAATTATGGCTAGCTTCCTTTATGGCATCGTTCTGTCGTCCTCCACCACTTTGTTCATGAATTATGAATACATAAGCACGCCTACTAGAAAACAATCCATATTCAAATCCTCCGTCTGCATTATGCTGATCACAACGGCTTCTTCCTTAATTGTTCGTAGCATCACATTCTGGGTTCCCTTTGTGTTTGGATTCCGAATCCTTTCGCTGATCGCGATCATTCTTCTAGCGTTCATGGTTATTCAAATACCCGATTCTGACACTCTAGGCAAAGATTTCCTTTTCTTCACGTCATCACTTCATCAACATTCCGATGCAGGGAAATCCCGTGAAGGAATTTTCGAGAGCGGCTCGTGTACTGTCGCGAGAATACCACTTATCGTTGTCGGACCCAAAAGAAGTGATGACAGAAGGCACCAATGTTCTGCAACGAGCTTCCTGTGACTTTTACTCACGAAGTATTTCCGGAGAATCGATCGATGGGTGTACTGGATCTCCAGAAATTCTTCATTCCATGTCGAGTAGAACAATCACCGCCTTCTTGATTGTAGCTGATGCGTATTACACTGCCCAGGAACTTGTTCTGCCATCCACAAAGACGCAGCCCACCTTCGCTCTTCCTGAAGGAACGGACATCAATGCTCTGCTCAATCGAAATATGGATGCCGTGCCTCCTCCTCAACAAGGAATTCATATCAAAGTGTTAAGACCTTTGTATGGAAAACTGCAAGATCGAAGACTTGATTGGAAGGATCAGGAAACTGCATCCTTTCTCCACGATGGAATCCAGACGAATTTGGTGGGACGTCTGTTCTTGGTCTCTTTTTTGACAGATAGAATTGTATAGAATCAATCTCATTCTGAGATTTGCTGGGATCCAGATCATTATGTGGTGTTGCTTTGAGTTTGGATGCAACGTTTTGTTGGCCCAAAGCCACATCATTCAGAGCACAGCCTCTCTCTCTGAAGTGGGTCTGTTTATCACGGAAGTAGCTCCTCCATTTGTGAAAGCAATGATGTGTCTATTTCTAATGCTATTCGGCATTGCATCCAATCTCTCTCATTCCTTACGCTTTTCCTTTCTGCAGATGATTGGAATTGGCTATGGAGTTCATTCCGTTCCGGAGTTCAAATCTAGATCCTGCTGTTGGGCATGATTTTTACCGCTCTTTTCAATAATATTCTCTTCTTCAAGCCAGGAATCTCCTCTCTATTCCTCCTCTTCCTTCCCACAGTGCTTCTCGCTTTTGCCGATGTGTGCATGACTGTCGGATCGCTCTGTCTTTTCTACCAGGAATCGCCTCGGCGAGCTCAAGCAGTAATGGTTTCTATATTCTTCTTATGCCGCTACTGCGGATCGCTGCTCTTCTACACTGTTCTCCCGATCTTGAGCTCTCTCTGCAAACTAGAAAATCCAACGGGTCCCATTCCTCACTACGAATATGGCGTTTTGCTTCTCCTCGTGGTGGCTATCATCTTCTTCATTGTGCATGTGATGGTCTCCATCAAGTATTGCTCGGTTACAGAGGCAGAGTTGGACCAGGAATGCGAGGCTTTGAAGCCTGACCGCATCTTGCATCCTTATTTATTGAAGAAAGAGAATGGATTCAAGTGGGAGAGCGAAATAGAAAAGTAATCTGTAGGAGTCGATCCAAGTCCTGTGATTCCGTTATCTCCACTACAAGCTCCTCTTCTTCATTTTCCGCTCGCTCCATTTCAGATGAGATTCTCTTTAAAGGAAGCTTTTCTCGATCCGTCAACTAGTTCTCTTCATTGTTCGTGTCTCGATTCTTCATGTTTTTTCTCACAAACACACAAGTTACCTTGTTTCGTTTTCTGCTTCTTTTCTGCCACTGTTTGGAATGGATTTGATTTACGAGGACGTTTATTTGAGAGTTTATTCTTTCGTATCTTCTTCTGCTTTCCTTGGTCAATCGCCATATCCCACTCGTCGGGCTTTCGCATTTCTGCCCATTCTTCAAGAGCTTCTTTCCGTGTCGATTCGATTTGCTGCTCGAAACTCTGCTTGTCTTCGCTCCAATCGAAAACTATCGATTATCCCCATTCCTAATACTGTTAACAACATACCATTCTCAGATATCGAAGGTGCAGGAGCCTCTGTCTTGCTTTTCGCTTTTTCGACAATTCTGGATTCGAAAATAGTCATAAAAACGATTACTTGTTAAATACATTGCTTATTGTTTGCTTTGGCTTCTTCTCTGTTTTCGGAGGCTGTTCGTCTTGTGCTGGTAAAGGCTTTGAAACGATTCGCTTCTTTTCTTGCGTCTCCTCGGCAAACTTTCCTGCAATTCACCAGATCCATTCACAAATACGTTTGGGCATGTTTAGCCACTCACGAACAGAGTTTGATACAACTAGAATGGAGTTTCAGAATCTTGGCAATACATTGAGTAGATTTTGAAGCAGAGGGAGACTGCTTTTTCTCCTCAGAAGAACCGAAATGTCTCTTTTTGGTCGATTTAAAGAGCGTAAATGTGGATCCTTCTTCCTTTTCAGGCTCCTGTTCTTTTTTGATGTCGGGTTTCTGTTCAGCAGGTAAATCTTCGGTTCTCGTGTATACTACTCATATTTACTAATAAAAACGTAATACTCTCCTCATTTACAGATTTTGGCTTCGCTCCCTGGGGCGTTTTGGCCAACACAAACTCAATTCTACAACTAAACGCATAATCATCATTTTATTACCTTCTTGGTAATAACTGCTGCACATTCTTGCGTAACGAGTTTCTATCCGTGAGATGGCTCGGACATCTTCAAAGTACATTATTTCGTCCCCCTTTTGTTCCAGTTCCTTTTGTTTATCCTTTTTCTTCTTGGACATTTACTAAACAACAAACAGCAAGATTCTAAATATATGCCTTTAAATTATTCCTGATTTGTGTTATCTCTACTCAATTATGGTAATCGAAATGATCATACCCGCAGGTGATTTTCGCCCATACAAGAAAAACACTCTGAGGCCCGCCACACAAGCGGATATCTATCAAATGATCCCAATACCGATGAAAACAACAAAGCTGCTAAAGATGGCTAGGAAAAGGAGTAAGGAGATTATCATTAATATCAAGTTCTTCTCAAATATGTCAGTGTAGGCAAAAAATCCAAATGAAAAAGCAACGCTACACGCCCCACACAATATTGAACCATTCTGTTATGGTACCTAAATGCACTTTTATGGATATTATAAGGTCGAGCTTCCTATTGAAGAAAAAACTTGTCACTAAAGCGAACAGAGAAATCACGATGGAAGACCATGAAATAGCGATCCATTGAGCTTTCGTACATTTAATAAAAAAGTGATTCAGCAGTAACTGCAGGATACTATAGAAAAGTGACAATCCAGAGTTTATCCGATAGGACCAAGTGATTCCTACTGCATACTCCATTGGGTTCTCTTCTTCTAGACTATGATGGACAGGTTTGCAACATCACTTACTTTAGCGATTTCTTTTTAGGCTGTGATGAATCACCACTCGTAGGTAAGTAAACTGGATCGACTATCACGTTATGAGACATAGGAAAAATGGATGTTTGTTACGAGGGCATTGAGCCATGTAGCACACTTGCAATAATTTTTCGTAACTCATCAATGCATCTGATACATTCATTCCAAAGATGGTGCGTCATAACAGTACTTCATGCCATAAAAAGCTTCATTCATTGCTTTTTCATTCATAACTTTTTTTGCAGTGCAAAGTGAGTTGATTGCCTAATACTAACAGTGTTAAAGGGGTTTTCGTTTGCCTCGTATTTTTCTCACTCTTTTTCTAGTTTTTTCCTGTATCATGGATAATATTCCAATTTTAGATCCATATTCGGTCTCAAGTCATCGTACCAGTAGTACTAGTGTACCAGTCCATTTTTGAGTCTAACGTAGTCCGTGGAGGATAGTCTTGGGCATTTAAGACCTGCCAGTCTGAGAATGGAAAGGCATCTATCACTTCCTGACGTTTCGCCTGCCCCTTATACAATGACCCCTCATCGCTTTGCTACTCCATGTACTCCGTCTGTATTTACTTTTGATACTATTCCCGAAACGAATACTTGTACTACGCCATATTCGTATCGTTCTCACGATTATATGGGTAGAGATTCTGAGGGCCAGTTTTTCAATCGATTCAATGACTCCTATCTCGGCCAAGAATCCGTGGATCCTTTTTACCACTCCGATCCACGAAAACGTGCCTATTACTCGGATGCAAATTTCTCTCGTGACGGGGATTTCTTTCAGGATCGTTCTCCCATGCTGCTCACGCCTCGTCGTTCCAGCCTGCAAGGCGACGATCTGTTTGCCTCCAATTTTCCCATTTTCCCCCGCGCGTATTCCACATCCCCTGCCTTCCATCGCACTCTCCACCAAGACCCTCCTTCTCTCCCTTCTGCTTCCACGCTCTCTACGCGTCCTCCCGCCTCTCCGGTGTCTCTGACCAATCCTCCGCTTTCCCCCCACGCCCTCAAGCCTGCTTCCGTTTCCACGGCCGTCGCAGCGCCCCTCGCTTCCGCCCCCACTCCGACAAAGCCGCGCAAGCTTCACTCGCGCGCCGGCTCTCCGAACAAGCCGAACATCACGGACCCTGCGAACCGCGTGGTGCTGGAGAACGTGCGAAGCGGGAAGGACCGTCGAACCACTTTGATGATCAAGAACATCCCCAATGCGTAGGGAAGGCGAGGCTGTGCGAGATAGGTTCTCGAGGGAGGCCGTGCTGGCCGTGGTGGATCAGTACTGCCAAGATAAGTACACGTTCTTCTATCTGCCGTACGATCAGAAAACGGGGTGCAATCTGGGGTATGGATACATCGATATGGTGGATCTGCCCAGCGTCGCGGCGCTGTATGTGGCGGTAGGCGATGCGAGGAAGGTGTGAGGGGAAGCTGAACGGGAAGAGCTGGCAGAATACGCGAAGCGTGAAGGTTTGCATGATTTGTTATGGAAGGCTGCAGAGCGGAGAGGTAGCGATGGCGGAGAGGAGTGAGGGCAGCAAGATCTCGCGGAGTACTGCAGCGACTGGTCCGTGATGAGTTCGGAAGAGAAGTACCACCCGCTTTTCTTTAAAGAAGTGACATGCATGGTCGATGGGAAGGAGGTGAAGAAAATGGAGAGATATACGCCGCCTGTGGTGCTGAAAGTGAAGAACGAAGAATAGAGAAGGGGTGACATGGACTTTTTGTAGCCTAGGTGAAGGTTTTTCATTCTTTGTTTTGATCTTTGTTTGTTTTATTTACTATGGTTTGGCTCTTTGGCGTGGGTAATCTGTAGCAATTCCAAACAGCGACAAACCCCATTATAGTATGGAGTGATAATGTTTTATCATTGAATTTAGAATCAAGTCTACGACACACTCGATGATAGCCAGAAGAAAGCCGGCCCTATTTTGGCCAACCTGTACAGTATTGTTCTCGTATGCGTCTTTCTCCCTTCTCATGTAGACGGTGGATGCTATTCAGAGAGCATTTGCAGAAGGACGCTTAACGGAGGCGGAAGTACGTGTCTTCTTCACGGTTTATTATAGAGCACGAAGTATAAAGATTCTTTGACTCAGCAGTTCAAAATATCGATGAGCGGAGCGAAAGGGCTCGTTTCTGAAGAACAGTTTTTTAAAGAGTTTGTCTGTGGCCTTGATCTGATCTCTAGTTACTTCCCTAACGGAGAATATAAATTCGGAGTGGATCTCCTCCTTGATGTAGATGGAACGATCCAGCGACTTCGTGATGAAGTGGTATGTCTTTCAGCTCCATTCTCAGATAGATCGAAGCTTTCAACAATTTGAACGGAATGATACAAAGAATCAAGACAAAGAAGCGAATTGCTGCTGCTATCCAGGAACTCAGTGATAAGTGGGTTTTGCTCTAGATTTGCGAGATAGAATCAAAAAGTGTGTTGATTATGCGCATAAGCCGTTTGAATATGAAGAGTACATTCAGTCGATGCAGAACTTTTTGGATGACGATCTTTGTGACGATGACTCGAACATCAAAAATCCCAATGTACTTGCTAACATCACCAACACGAAGGATGAACTCCAGGAAATGTTCCAAAAGATAAAGTTCTTCCCTGTTTGTTTGAAATGTGAGAAGCACTTGCTCTTTGGGTAGGGTAGAGAATGCATAGGCGGTGAAAAGACAGAAAAAAAGAATGATTGATAAGTGTTTGGCAGATTAGCGTTTCGAATCGATTTGACTGAGTCAAACAACGTTTACGACCCTTTCTATTTCTGTTGGTTCTTTCGATAGGATGGGAACGCCACATTTCATCCCTGTTTTTTTGGCTTTTGACTTTCCAACAAACACATCCACCGGAAAATATTGATAAGAATAACAAGAATGACCATAGTATAACAATATTATAACAGCACCTCAGACAGTCCACAGTCCAAATTTCATTGCTCACTTGGAGATCCGAGCGAACTCCTGACACACCACCTTTTTATCATAGTCGTAAACCAGGAAGTCGAACCGGAACCCGCACAGCGAACACACCACCTCACGCACAGGGACGACGGAGATGAGCAGCGTCTGACGGCGCGTCATCACCTCGTTTTCAAAGCTCCACTTTCGAATATCCATCAATATTTGCTGCACTTCGTTGTTCAGTGCGCGGTCTAGGAACGGACTAGCCATCTCTAGCTCGCGGCCATCGAGTTGAAAGGAGAGACGACCCTTTGCTCTGTCGACGCACTTCTCAGGAAGGTGGCATGTGTTCACGAAGCGAGAGAAGCACTCAGTCTGCTGCTCAGAGTGCAGAACCAGGCAATTGCAGACGGTTTGCGAGCCACTGCAGAAAGAGCAGTTGGTCATTGAGGGATCGCAATCTAATGAGACGGCTGAACAGTGAGGGCAGGAAGATTCCTGCACAGACTGGGAGATTACGATGTCCTCATTCATCTCAGAGGTTGGAATGTCCCAGATAGAAGAAGAAGAAGAAGACAGAGACGAACTCTTCATCTGGGAGAGTTGGCTCGGAGCCATTGATTTCCAACTAACAGTGCGGTATTCGAATGTCGAATCCACGATAATACGGTAGCAATAACGTAACTGAGTTGATTCCACTTTCATGGAATGAATGAACGCTTTGCCCAAGAAACACGGCCGAATATGCCGTGAGATAGGGGCCAAGCAGGCTTCAAGTGTGTAGGCGGGATAATCCAACAGGGGACTTGAGATAACGGTTCGCTTATTTGAACTCCTTGATTCAGGTGATACGGATACAGTTCCTGATACCCCAGGTAGTAAACAAAATTGTTGAAGATCCTGAACATTATTCGATAGAATTCAACAAAAGTACCTCAACAGAGTAAGGAGTGACAGGAGTGACTGACAAATATGCGCTTGCGGACTCTTCGTCCAACTGCGCAATTGCTTCCTCGCTAAACACATAATCATCCTACATAAAACCAATAGATAAGAAATACGAGTAAGCATTCATTCTGTGACGATATGGACTTCATACTAATATAAAAAACGCAAGGTGGAAAATATTAATAAAAAGAATGGAAAGACAATAAACAACGAAACTTCCCAGAAATATTGTTTCTGGCCTTGTGACACTCTTCATCTTAATCATTGCCGCTCTTTTGCTTTTTTTATTGAAACTTTCTTTTTCTTGTTCTCCGGTACACGGTGGCCTTTGCTTTCTTTTGTTGCTTCTGTTCTTGTATCCCCCAGATCTATTTACGGCTTTTAGATGATTCGAATTATTCTTGTTCTTTTTGTTCTATCATCTGGATACTATTATAACAATACTCAGTGCATTATCCAGTGAATGTTAAAAATATTGTATTCTCTCAACTCGACTTGGGTAGGTTCGTTAAATATATTTTTAGGATGGATGTTTGCCACCATGTCAAATGCCAAATGAACACACAGTAGAATTGCCCTATTTCGTTGGTTGAACATATTGTTATATAAGTATTTACAACAAAATACCAAAGTCCGTGATGTTTTTCATAGAATATGAAAGAGCGGTTGTTTTGGGTTCTATGATACTTTAACGATTCAACGCTGAGTGAGAAAGCGTAAATTAGGTAGCGATTCGTTAACTTCAGGTCCTGTTTCTTGCTTGAGTAATCCTACATCCATTGAATTATTGAAGTTCAAATTATCAGTGACGTTATTATTATTATTATTTTGGGAAAATGGTTCTGATTTATCACATTAGTATGTAAAAGCTTACTACAATAGTATTTGAAATATTAATATAAGTAAATACCGCATATTTCTACAAATTACTCATATTCTTGTACGAATCCATATTCTTCATACATGTACTTTCTTTGACTTATCCCATAATATTGACTTGCAATAATTGAGGTAATCATTAATTGCTGATACATTCTAGGTCAATAGGATGAGGAAGCATATTCATTCTTCCTTTTACTATGCCTTGTGCGCATTCTTTCAATTGTTCTTGTCTTTCTACTCTTATTACCGTGTTTTCATCAGTAAATTAACGTTAGTACTGCTTTCTAACACATTCTATCTATTCCAGGATCGTAACTGGATTGTATTGTTACACATCGAAGCGATAATCATGGTTTCTAAAAAATCTGCAGTTACTTATTCCATAACCTGCCATTTTCTAATGACACACATATTCTGTCATGAAAACCCCTATCTGATTTTCTGCCACGTAAAGAGTTGTGATTGCAAACTGTTTTCGTTCTTGTTCATTCATATCTTTTAAACACACAATAATCGCGATTCTTTCTCATTGTTGTTTTTAGAACATCTTCATGTCCAGTCCAGTCTATTTGTGTTTATTTCATTCACTAGCAATGCTATCTAATACATGGAGTTGCTTTTAAACTACTGTGTTTGAATTACACACTCATAGGCTTGTTTCCCGATTTCATCATCCATAGTCAATCAAGATGAATCTCTCCTAATCATTTTTAACTCCATTCATTTTCTCTTTTCCGGATTCCATGAGTGAAGCGAAGACGATTGTGCGGATAACAACAAGAGAGAATACATACAAAAGGAACAGGAAATTGGCCATTTTCCCGCAGAATGCAGTAATCAGGCACAAAGAGAAGAATGTTGTGAAGGATCTTATGAAGTACAAAATGCATTGTGAAGATCATGATTCTAGGTTTTCTGAAATTTCAACTGCTGAAACATCGCAAAAGGCATTTGTGGAAGAGCATGTAAATAAGTGGATTGATGGGATTTTCCATGGAATCTGCCAATTCGTTGTAGTTGCTGGAACTGAGGAAAGCGGGAAGAATTATTTAATAAAGGGGAGTAACTCCACTCCTGGGATCATTCCGTTCCTTGAAAAACGACTTGCTACTCTAGGGGCCGAATTAGCACTCACCTCTAAAGTATCGTATCTTCGGTATCACAAGCGTATTTTCATTTATATTTCTTCACGGGTAGACACGTTTTGGGACATTCTAAATCCAAATCGCAGTTCTGTTTCTCTACAATCTTCAAATGACATATATTCTTTCCCTTCTGTTAAATCCGTACACACTCCTATGACTCTGTTCTATGTAGCTTCCTCTCTCCGACATGAAGAGTGTGAGCGAAGTCGAGACCACAATCCATTCCTCCCTCCACTCGACCTATCAAGACACCACCGGCCCCTCTCTCTGGATGTTCACTGTATAGCATCTCTCTCTTTCTATTTATTCTCCCTAGTGTCGTCCTCGTTCTCCTGCTCTCACCCAGCCCGTTTTCCTCACAGTCATCGATCTGCCCATCGACGGTTTCGCTTCACGTTTCTTTTCATCCCCAGACCAAACCGACTTCCAAGAGCTCCAAACGCTCCGTCTCTTCTTAGTGGAGTCAGGCCAGCCCTCCAACTTCCTCACCTCCATCCAATCCCTTTCGGTGTCCTATCCAAACCAAACCCTCATCGCGGCCACCGATTTGGGATGCAATCCGCTGGATTTGAAGCTCCTTCGTGCTTGGTCGATTCCGGCGACAGAGCAAGATCTCCCGATTCAACTCGAAGCGGAAGAAGAAGGCGAGTTAGAGATGGATGAGAAGACGGAGAGCGAGGAGAAGAATGGGAAGAGCGAGGAGAAAAGAATGGAGATGAAGGTAAAAGACGAAGAGCCAGCGAAAGAAACGGGCTACGATCTTCGACACAGCAAAATCAAAGTTGAAAGCGATTATGAAGGAAGTGAAAACGAAAATGAAAACGAAGAAGAAGAAGATGTGATGATTAATCTTGTCTCCAGCGACAGTTTCGTCGACTCCGAAGAAGAAGAAGAAAATGAAAAAGAGCAAACATCGAATAGGCAAGAAAACACACTTTCCTCTTCGCTCTATCAAAGTCCAATTCGCTTTTCTCTCTCACACACAGCTCCCAAGAAGTCCGCAAAGCGCGTGATTCAGCGATCGATTCTCAGCGGCCACGTGGCCAAAAGCCGTCGATTCTCTCCCTCCAGCCGAGCGAAAATCTACGAAAACGAGTCGCGTTTGTCTCAACTAATGAACGGGTTTTGTGTGTTTCCTGGTTTCTCTCGCAGGTTTCCGACGCTCTCTCCGTGCTCTCGCATTCTGCAAGCAAAACAGATGATTATCCAAGCGCGCGAACACGAAGCTCAGGGACGTCTCACCGAATCGCTGGAGCTTTATAAAGAGGGTGGTACTGAGCGAAGAGATTCACGGGTAGCGCAGGAATATCTGCCAGAGAACGAGAGACTGCGTAAGAAAGTGGAAGAAGTGGGGAAACGGATCGAGATTATCGCGTCGGTGAATGGTGATGGAGAGCAGCAGCAGAACGAGGAGCGAGTGCTGCAGATACTGAATTACGCTGGATTGAGTGGTTTGTTGAAGTTGAAAATGATCGGGGATACAAAAGCCAGGAGGATTTTGAAGGAAAGGGAATCAGGCTTGTTTGTGTCGGTAAGCGTTTTCTATGCTCTCTTGACTCTAGATTAATGATTTAAAGAGAATTGGGTTGACAGAGAATAGTATTGAGAAGTTTAAAGCTGCAAATTGTGTATGATAGAATGATTGTTGTTTGATTCAAAAATACAGAGTGTTTTTGGAATTCCACTTCTCCTTCTTCCCAAGTGATTGAATACAAGGAGGTTTGCTATATAGTGTTTGACCGCAGGAAATAAGATAATGGACAAATCGGGCAAGGAAGCATCACCCTATAGTATTGTGAATGTGCGATTTTGTGACTTCTTGATTATTGCCTAGATTACATTTGAAACGTGTCTACTGCCTGCGGATTTGCAGAATATTAGTAATGGAATCAAGCGATGTCTCTTTAGCACTCTTTTGAAGTATTTCACCAGCGTTTTTGACTTTACCTGCTAGATATTCTGAAGATGTCGAAGGTGTGATTCTGGCTTTCCAGAATATCAAGTTATTGAACAACTTGAGCGAGATTGTGGATGAGTCATATTATATTCGGATCAATGTAAAAGCGGACTGCCTAGTCTTCAGACCCACTCGTGGAATGGAGTTGATGGCCACCGTAAACATGATCAGACTTCATTACTTGGGTCTGATCGTGGAAGGATTGTTCAACGCCTCCGTTCCGGAAGATCTGATGCCTAGCGGTAGTTTCTATGACTCGGTGAAGCACACCTGGGTAGTGAAAGATACTGCAATGGAGATTGGTTCTGTACTCCGAGTGAAAGTGGATCGGTAGCGTGACGGATTGTGTTGGATGACCTGTAGAATTCACGATAACAATGATGGTATGATTAATTTGATCTGTTCGTTCGTGTGAAGTAGTTTTATTCTTTGCACGGTTTGTTGAACAAACATTCGCTTGTTTATTGTTTTGACTGCCTTGCTTTGCTTTGCTTTGCTTTGCTTTGCTTTATAATTCTAAATGATTTGATTTGGTTGATAAAGTGATTCGTCTATCCCTGCACAAGCTCATTAACCCCCGCTTCTTCACCCAATCCTATTCAGATCCAGCGTGTTGCTGTACGACGGGTTATAGATCGCCTCGTTCGGTCTCCACACCTGCAGCACATTGTCATCCCCCACTGAAGCCATCGTCCACTCGTCCTACTCTTCACTCCGCCTCTTCCTCCCCTACGTCCAGATTCCACGAAATGTCATTCACCTTCGCCGTGTGCCCCGCATGCACAAAAATCAGCTCCGCCGGACCCTCCTTCTCCAGCTCCTCCGGCACGCGATCGCCGATCTTGCTCAAATCCCAGATCATGACTCTCCGATCCACGCCCGCCGACGCGAGAATATTCGCGTTCACCGGGTTCCACGCCAGCGAGTAGATCTCCGCCGTGTGTCTCCGCAGCTGGTGCAGCGGCTGCCCCAGCGCTCGGAAGTCCCACAGCGCCACCGTCGCATCGGAGGAGGCGGTGGCGAAGAGAAACCGCTCGACGGGGTTGAACGCCACGGCGTTGACTTCGCGCGCGTGCGCGCGCAGCGACTGCAGACTTCGGCTCTTTCGCATGTCGTAGAAGAACACGCGGCTGTCGTCGCCGCACGCTGCCAGCAGATTCGGGTCGAGGGGATGCCAGGCCACGTCCTCCACGACGTCTCGCTGCTCGGCGAACTCGCGGAGGGGCGAGAAAACGGTGGAATCGCGGGGAGACGAGAGGTCCCAGAGACACACTTTGCGATCGTCGGAACCCGAGGCGATGAGGCCTTTCTGCAGAGGAGACCAGCTGAGACCGTAGCCCTCCTGGGTGTGGCCTTGCAGAATGTAGTTCGGACGGCACACTGTATCGCGGGGAATGGACGGATGCTTCCGGATGTCGAAGACGTTCACATTCCCATTCACGGCTTTCGTTGCAATGATCATTGGGTCCTGGGGCATGTAGCGAGCCTTGTTCACCTCTCCTTCATGCGCTACGCGAACCGTTTCCGATACGTGAGCAGAAAATCCTTTGAAACCAGCGTTTTCTATAATAAATCACCGTCCACGTTATTATACCATTTCCGTCGTTATCAAACTCTCGCATATCAATGGTTGAATCGGGAAGCGGCATTTGGATTGTGGCTTGCATCAAATAGTTCTGCTCTCCCTCTGACGTGTGAGTGGTCAAATAGATCTTTTGCTCCGAAAAGTCCTTGTTACTTCCACTAATTCTTTCAACACAACTCAATATGGATACATTGTACATCCAGGTAACCACTGCACACTCAAGCTCGGCCATTCCAGAGCATGTGACAAAATTACATCATATCTACAAATTATCGCATTCATAATCCATTACAGGTAAGGGGCATTCTTTTTCCATATATGATACTCTTCATCTATTTTCTTGTCAAAAATATCTTCCTCTTCATTTTCAACGGTTTCTACGTCCCACAAAATGAGCAAATATTACCATTATCGTATTGCATTTCCAATCAACAGAGAAAATGAAATCACAACCAAGCCATGCATGTCTTGTATGTAATATGGGAAGCCCAGACAGGTCTTCCATAGCTCAGTTGGTTAGAGCGTGCGGCTGTTAACCGCAAGGTCGACGGTTCAAGCCCGTCTGGGAGAGTTTTTTTCTTCGTGATTATAGACCACTGTGCATGTACAGTGGTAATGTGTCCTTGATTATCAAATTATGATTTGATAAGATTTTACTGTATAGTGGGTAGTGAGTTTCATGTTAATCAATATAACATCGCCGTATTACTGTGCGTTGTTAGACATAACAGTATTATCAAAAATAATCCATGAACAAGTCATGTTATGAAGAGGTTTGCAGTCGCCTTCGTAAATTAGCGCAACATAACGAAACAGTGAGTCAGCTTCCTGAATTGGAGGAATATATCCGGAAGAACTTTGATTTGTTCGCAAAAGACTATGGAGGCACTTCTCATAATGCAAGGTACTCAACTGGAAAACTTGAGGGTGAGCTCTTTTTGAAACTAGCCAGCATTTGTAACTTTAAGAACCGTGACGATAACGCGAAAGAGGCTAGTGATATTTTTCGTTTGCTTGGCTATGAGTCGTATAAGCAAAAGCCAAATCGCTTTCGCCAGAAGATTGAGAATTATAAGAAGAAGCTAAAGTCGAAGTCAGGGAGGTCTTCTACTGCAAGAGCTATTAGGAGACCGACTCGGAGACGTGTAGTTGTGGAAAAAACCGTTTCTGTCCCATCAAGTCCTGAAGTGGATGAGAGTTACACTCCTTCCTCGTTATCGGATACCGAGTCGATCTCAACGAATTCTGAGGAGGAATCACAACCGCCAAAGTCTACTACCGAGAACAGTGAAGAAGACGATTCTACGGATAGCTCAAAACTTATCGAATATGTGAAGTATTTAGATCAGCCCTATGATCAATATATGTTTTGGAAGAGTTCAGGATCAAATTCCCTTTTTGTGCCTGAAGGAGATTTCATTTTGTCAGCTGATACGTCTACTCTCAATGGATTATATAATACCGATGTGGAACTAGCGGTTCAGGAGCAGTTCGCCGAGGAGCACAAGATAACCTTTTCTACTATTCTCAATAGTGAAGAAAACCACAATTCTACGTTTTCTGATGATACCAACGTTTATATATTCCCTTTTTTTTAGGCTTCCAATTCATTCAAGTGAGTTCCTTTCAAGCAGTAGTATGTTTCTATCCTTTGTTGGTCTGTTTTTTTTTTGCATACCTTATGTGTACGAGTCGCGATCCATACTTATGAGACCAATTCGTTGATAGTTGTGTAGGATGAAAGATACGTGTGAGAGTACTGGTCGGTAGATAGAATCCGGGATTGATCATATAACTGCAGAGAGGTATGGAGGACGAAAAGTACCTTTTGGAGTGCGTTGTGATAGGAATGTTTGACACAAGTGACAACACGATTTGTTACGACAGAAATGGATATATCGCGTTGTTGTTCGTATTGTTACTAGTTAATGTACACTTAAGTGAGTTTATAATGAGTTTGCATACTCTCATGTAAATAACTGTAAGTTATCACATAAGGAGTGTGCATAACCCTATTAGCAACATATTCCTTTCTAACATTCCATTTTTTGTTACTCATCTGTGCTGAAAAGAACTCTTTATCAATTCTATTCAACAACTCAATCCTGTGTATTGTAAATCACTTTCAATATCTTATGCTTACAGAATATATGCCTTTTACCATGGGAATCGTGTGGAGAGTTATTTTGAGTGGATAGCTAGAACATTCACCAATACATACAAATTAAAAAGATTAACGAGAAATAGTAGTGTAGAATCCACAAAATGCTGCGTGTTGGGATACCACAATTTTGAATAGAGGGCAATGTGTTGGAGTTCAATCTTTGTTTCAGTTCGATCTTTGATTTTTTGAGTCAATCTTTATGCAAGTCGCAACAGAGATCTATTCATGCAAGCCTCCTACACGTGTAGTAGTGCCGTTTGTGGGAGATTTGTCCTCAAACCGCTTTCTTTTGGCTACTTCAAATATAACTGATGATAATGAGGTTCACGGTACTGTTTTTATCTTTATCTACAGATACACCTTGTGGAGTATAATTCACGGAATAAAAACGTCTATTCAGAGTGCATTTATAAACACAATGGCCAGATTTTCGGATTAAGTCCTTGTCCTTACGATCCTGAGCTGTGCTTTGCTATTGTTGGATGTGACTCTGGTAGTATCTTTATTTTGTTGCTATCTATAGATACGAAGAAAGGAATCCTGTATCACTTGGGAAATCTTCCTCTCACACACATTTCTGAAGAAAAAGACCAGGATCAGGATATCCCCGGCGAGCCCGAAGCAGACAATGCATCTGCTGATTCCATTTCCGATGCTCCTGACAATCTCGACAGTGCAGAGAATCCAAGCAATCCATCCCATTTGGAAGCTGCTAAGGATACGGAGAATGCAGAGAATGCAGAGAATCTCGATACTTCTGAGCATATTGAAGCATCTGAGAGCGCAGATGCAAACGTAAGCGCAGACGCAGGTGCAGGTGCAGACGCAGCCGCGGATTCTGCTTCGGCCCCTGCTTCAGCTCCCGCCCCCTCGGATCCAACCTCGGTCCCCGCCTCCGCCTCCGTCCCCGTTGCCGCGCCTTCTTCGCCGATCGACGCAGCGGAGGGCGACGCGAAGCACGCCGACGCGACTCCCGCGGAAGAAGCGGAGTGTCTCCCCGACGACAAGCGCGACGTCCCCGCGGCGACGCCTCTCCCGACGGAGCTGAGCGTGCTGTCGACGGCGCCGCGCGACAACATCGTGAGGTGGCTGCGAGGACGTTTGGTGATGGCGTAGCGCGATCTGGCACCCCGGGAACCTGGAGCAGGGCACGCTGCCGCACGAGCTGATCCTGGTGTATCGCAGCGGGTATGCGGGGTACCGCGTGACGGACGCGGGGCAGCTGGAGGAGCTGTTCTTCTACAGCTTCAAGGAGCCGTGCCAGGCGGCGGCGTGGGATCCGCTGCACACGCAGCTGCTGGCGGTGGCGCAGGGCCGCGCGGTGCGCGTGATCAACATCTCGGACAACTCGGTGCTGTGCTGCGCGGAGCAGGCGCACGCGGAGGCGGTGCAGTGCATGGAGTTCAATCCGAATCGGCCCAGCATTCTGTGCACCGGCGGACGCGACGGCGTCGTCACGCTGTGGCACGTGTCCAGACGCGGAATGGAGGTCGAGAAGACCGTGCAGGCCCATACGCATTGGTAGGCGAGCGGAGGAGGAGTCAGGGGAAGGGTTACCAGCGTGCACTTCAATCCGCTGCATGATGCGCTGTTGCTGACGTCCAGCACGGATAGCTCGATTTCGCTGTGGAGAATGTTCTCTGTGTCGTCGTCGCGGATGAAGGAGAAGTGCGGGAGGAGGGGGAAGATGATGTGTAGACAGCAGGAAGATAAGCTGGTAGTTGTGCTGGGAGGATCGCGAGAGAGCATTTACAGCACGGCGTGGAGCGCGAAGAACATGTGGCTGTTCTGTGGCGCGAGCTACGAGGGAAAGCTGCTCTTCGGAAATGTGCCGAGCGAAGAAATCTCCACGCTGCTGGACGAAATGTAATGAATTAGCTCTGTTTGTTGGAAAAACGAACGAAGAAAGGGCGAGACACAATTATGAACGACAGTTTTATCGAATATTCTTCAAGTGTAAAGTCCCCAAGGCCATGGCTCTTTCTGAGTATATGTGGATACCAATTGCTGGAGCAGTTTTTGCGTTTTTTGCATCCTTAGGAATGGGTACGGAAAAGCAGAGAAAAATAATACGATAGGTGGTAATGATGTCGCAAACTCATTTGCTACATCCGTTGGAGCGAAGGCTCTCACTCTCAGACAGGTTATTGTGATAGCTTCCATCTGCGAATTTTCCGGAGCTATGTTGCTTGGAAGCAAGGTCACAGCAACAATCAAGGAGTCAATCGTCGTTGGAGAATACTACGAAGACAATCCTGCTCTGTTAATGTTCGGTATGTGTATTGTTCTGGTCGGATGCGCTTTCTGGTTGATCGTGGCAACGTGGTTTGAACTGCCCGTGTCCAGTACGCACACTTGTATTGGTGGCATGCTTGGAATGGCGGTGATCAGTCGGGGTTTCAAGGCGATCCACTGGTCCACGGTGATCAATGTGATCTGCTCCTGGTTCTACACGCCCCTCTTAGCCGGCTTCATTTCCTTCTCCCTTTTCTGGATCATTCGCCGCACTGTTCTCACCAAAGACACTTCCTACACACGCTCCCTCGCCTTATCCTCTCCTCTGATCGCGGCGGTTCTTTTCCTCAATTTCTTCGTGTTGTTGAACGGCGGTTGTCCCTGGTTCCCCGCCCTTTCCTACGCCCTCGCCGCGCTCTGCAGTCTCGGCCTCTCCGTGGTCATCGCGTGTCTCTTCCGCTGGCTGGGTCTGCCTCGCATCCGCTCTCGCATCGAAGCCCCTGCCTCCACATCCGCATCTGCCATAGCGGAGGATGCGACGATCTACGACTCGCTTCTCCAGAACGACGCCTCCAGCGCGCCGCAGCCCGCGGAAACCAGCGTGCCGATCCCCGTCTCCCAGCCCTCGGAGGCCAGCGAAGCCAAGGAAGCCAGCGAAGCCAAGGAAGCCAAGGAAGCCAAGGAAGCCGGCAACCTTCCTGTCTCCAACGCAGCGACCGGATCGACGGGCGGCGAGGACGGGAAGAAGAGCAAGGAGCCGAAGATCGGCTCGCAGGACGTGTTCGCTCGGCTGAAGAGCGACGCGACGGTGGCGACGATCCACGAGCACGCCGAGGAGTTCGAGCCGCGCACGGAGCGCATGTTCGTGTACCTGCAGGTGCTGGCCGCGGTGCTGAACTCCTTCGCGCACGGCGCGAACGACGTGTCGCACTCGATGGGCCCCTTCGCGGCGTGCATCGCCATCTACAACACCGGACGCATCGACGACGCCTCGCCCTGCCCCGCATGGATCCTCGCGCTCGGCGCCATCGGCATCATCGTCGGACTCGCCACCATGGGCTACAAGGTCATGGCCACCGTGGGAGTGAATCTGGTGCGCGTCACGCCGTGCCGCGGGTTTTTCATTGAATTGGCGGCGTCGGTTGTGGTGATCGTGGGGTCGCGACTGGGCATGCCGCTGTCCACCACGCAGTGCAAGATCGGAGCTGCGGTGGGAGTGGGATTCGTGGGAGGAAAGGAAGGAGTGAATTGGAAGCTGTTCTTGAAGATCTTTGCGGGATGGGTCGTCACGATCTTCATCGCCGCCCTGGTGTCTTCCCTCCTCATGGGATTCGTCATTTATGCTCCCCGGGCTTAGTTGTATAGGATGGAATGTTTCAGATAATGTCCTTTTCTCGAATGGCTGTGTGTTTGTTTGCTGAAACGTGGAAATGGGGAACATTCTCTTATTTTTTCTTTGTGTCATGTTCGCAGCCGAGTTCGTACTACCTGCACTTCGTCACCTCTAGCTATTTGAACGAGATTTATGCGCAGCTCCCCGAGCCTAAATCGGTTTGGGAATACTTCCTCAAGGTGACCCAGATTCCTCGTGGATCGAACCAGGAGGGAGAGAACTGGCGCCACAAGCAGATTCTCGCGTTTCTGAAGAAGACCGCCGAGGATCTTGGCTATGAAACCTATGTGGATAAGGGCGACAATCTGATCGTCCGCAAGCCCGCCTATCCAGGTATCCGCCTTCCTTGTAGCGTTATCTCGAAGGTTGTGAGAACAAGCAGACGGTGTGCCTCCAGTGCCATATGGATATGGTCTGCCAGGCAGATGACGAAATTGACATCGATTTCACCAAAGATCCTATTATTCCGCGCATTGACGGCAAGTATCTGAAGGCCACGCACACCTCTCTGGGTGCTGACGATGGCATCGGTATTGCCACCTGCTTCGCTGTCCTCGCTGACAAGACCATCAAGCACGGTCCCTTGGAAATCCTCGTCACGCGCGACGAGGAGACCGGTCTGTACGGCGCCAGCGATCTGGAGCCGGGCATTCTGAAGGCCACGACGCTCATCAACGTGGACAACGAAGACGAGAACGCGATCTGCATCGGCTGCGCGGGCGGCTTCAACGTGGAGCTCCGCCTCCCCACGGTGCGTCAGATCGAAGAAGGCTTCGTCTCGCGCGAGCTGGTACTGAACAACTTCGTGGGCGGTCACTCTGGCTGCGACATCCACCTCGGCCGCGCCAATCCGATGCACGTGCTCGGCCGCCTCCTCGCGGCGCTCCCCGACGCGGACTCCTACCGCGTGCTCTCTCTGGAGTGCGGCACTGCGCACAACGCGATCCCTCGCAAGTGCGTGGCGCGCCTGGCCGTCCGCGCCGCGGCGGTCGACGCCGTGGAGACGCAGCTGCGCGCGGCGTTCGCGGCGTTCGCGCACGAGTACGCGCTCATCGAGCCGACGGCGAGCTTCGCGCTGCAGGCGGTGGAGGACGCGCGGCCGCCGTGCGACAAGCAGTCGACTCAGCGGCTGGTAGGGTTCCTGAACGCGTGCCCGTTCGGGCCGCAGCGATTCTCGCCGGTGGTGGAGGGCCTCGTGGAGACGTCGATGACGTGCGCGATCGGCACGACGGAGGATCTGGACTGCCTGAAGTTCACGGTGTCGGTGCGGTCGTCGTCGAAGTCGCAGATCGACTTCATGTATCGAAAGCTGGAGTGCCTCTGCGCCATGGCGGGGATGGCCATCTCTCAGCGCATCGGAGAGTACCCGGGATGGGACCCCGATCCCGAGTCGAAGGTCACCAAGGTGATGGAGAAGATTTACGCGGAGCTCTATGGAAAGCAGCCATGGGTCTATGCGTGCCATGCCGGACTCGAGTGCGGACTGATTATGCAGAAGTACCCGGGAATGGACTGCACGTCCGTCGGACCCGAAGTCAACTTCCCGCATTCCCCCGATGAACGATGCCTGATCTCTTCGGTCCCGCCCTTCATGGAGGTCATCCGAAGAACGCTGGAGGAGTTGGAGTAAGGCACTCGCGCTATGTGGTTGTGTTTGTTTGAATCACTTGGAGGTCGTTTCCACGGTTCTCCTTTTCGTTGAGCATTTCTTCCCAGATCCTACATAAAAGTCACAAAGAAATGTCGGTGTCTTCCTTTGAAGTGAATGCGGCAGCCGCCATGCGCGATTATTATGTCGAGCCTCGTCTTGGTAGGATTGTGGCGTGGAGTACGTTAGGACATAGACTACAGAACTATCAGCGGAGTAAACGGTCCGTTGGTTGTTTTGGAGAACGTGAAAGTAGAAGTTGTGTGAAGGCGAGTGATTTCTGTAGGGACCCCGTTTTTCGGAAATTGTAAATCTCCGTTTGGGAACTGGGGAGATGCGAAAAGGAAAGGTGCTTCAAATTTTTGGAAACAAGGCCATTGTGCAAGTGTTCGAGGGAACGACCGGAATCGATAACACACGTACTCACTGCGAGTTTACGGGCGATATTATGAGAATGGCCATCTCGGAGGAAATGCTGGGTCGCACATTCAACGGTTCGGGAGTGGCTATCGACAACGCTCCCCCCGTCCTGGCCGAGGAGTACTTAGATATCGACGGCCAGCCCATCAACCCCTACGCTCGCACATACCCGAAGGAGATGATCCAGACGGGTATCTCCGCGATCGACGTGATGAACTCCATCGCTCGAGGCCAGAAGATCCCTCTGTTCTCGGCTTCGGGTCTTCCGCACAACGAGGTAGGGTCGGTCGTGTGCTCCCAGCGTAGCTCGGCGCGCAGATTTGCCGTCAGGCAGGCCTGGTGGCGGGGAAGGACATCCACGACGACCACGAAGACAACTTCGCGATGGTGTTCGGCGCGATGGGCGTGAACATGGAGACGGCGCGTTTCTTCCGGAACGACTTCACGGAGAACGGCACGATGCAGCGCACGGCGCTGTTCCTGAACCTGGCGAACGACCCGACCATGGAGCGTATCATCACGCCGCGCATCGCGCTGACCACCGCGGAGTACCTCGCGTACGAGCGCGATCTGCACGTGCTGGTGATCCTGACGGACATGTCGTCCTACGCGGACGCGCTGCGCGAAGTCTCCGCGGCGCGCGAGGAAGTGCCGTCGCGCCGAGGCTACCCCGGGTACATGTACACGGATCTGTCGACGCTGTACGAGCGAGCGGGCCGCGTGACGGGCCGCAACGGGTCGATCACGCAGCTGCCGATTCTGACGATGCCGAACGACGACATCACGCACCCGATCCCCGATCTGACGGGGTACATCACCGAGGGACAGATCTACGTGGACCGGTCGCTGTACAAGCGCGGAATCTACCCGCCGATCAACGTGCTGCCGTCGCTGTCGCGACTGATGAAGTCGGCCATCGGCAAGGGAATGACGCGGCACGACCACGGAGCGGTGTCCAACCAGCTGTACACGAACTACGCGACGGGCAAGGACGTGATGGCGATGAAGGCCGTGGTGGGAGAGGAGGCGCTGACGGCCGAGGATCACTTCTATCTGAAGTTCACGGAGGACTTCGAGAACACGTTCGTGAACCAGGGACCCTACGAGTCGCGGTCCATTTTCGATTCGCTGGACAAGGCGTGGAACATGTTGCGCACCTTCCCCAAGGAAATGCTGAAGAAGATCCCGGCGGAGATTATCGAGGAGTTCTATGCGCGAAAGGGAGTGGAGATGCCCGAGGAAGAGGAGAAGAAGAAGGAGGATGCTTAGATTCAGTGGAGTGTTTGAGAGAAAAAACGAGAGTTGAAAGCAGGGAAGGAAGGAAGGAAGGAAGGAAGCAAGCAAGCAAGCAAGCAAGCAAGCAAGCAAGCAAGCAAGCAAGGGGATGGATGAGTTTTTGTGATAAGGAGTGGCATGATTCACCTATTTCAAAATCAATCACACACAACACACACACACAACGGAGAAAAGAATAGAGTTTCCATCTGAAACAAACAGAGCATTGAGGAGAATCCACCTTTGGCTCAGTTTCTTCCTTTGAATTTGACTCTTGTCGCGCTTCTTCTGATTTCCAAAGTGCTAGATTGTCCTTCAGCAAAGGCAATACATGGTATGCTTCAGTACACAATTCCTCGGAACCCTTCATCATATTAAAGGCATCATCATAGGCCTTACTGGCTAGCTCAATCGCCTATACTCTATTCACCTCGGATTACGACTGTACTTTTTTCGTATTACCCATGATCTCGTAATAGAACACAGAGAAATTGAGAATAAGGCCGAGAAAGATCGGACTGGCTACACCCACATTTGCTACTGTTGCTTGGTCAACTGCCTCTTGATAAGCCTGCTCTGCCTTTTCTGTAATCTCTTCCCTCTCTTCTTCCGACGCAAATTCAGCCAAATAGCGATAGTAGTCCCCCTTCATCTTTAAATAATACACAACATGGTCGGAAAGCAACTCAGGATTCTCTAAAACCTGATCACATATTGAAATTGCCTCCATGCACACGGATCGCAATTCCTTTTCTATGGTTAATCTTAATTTGGACATCTCGTCCGAAATATTAATCCTTTCTCCTGCGGAAGGCTTCGCGTTGATGGAAAGGAGGAGTCGGAGCGAATTTCGCTTTGCAGAGATTACGGTCTTGTAAGCGACTGAAAATAACCCTCTTTCTCTTTCATTTATGGTGAGATGTCTTGCTTGTTCACGGCGTTTTGCGAATGCCTTGCTCACAAACTGCGACATATCCTCATATCTTTCCGCAGTCTCTGCGATCTGAGCCATTTCGATCAAATTCGTGATTTCCAAGTCACTCCTAAGAGTTGTTACATCAACTTCCTTCCCATTTCATCTCAATCATTTTACAGATTTGAGACCTACATGATGGCGCTATATTGAGAGTATTGTTTGTAAGGTCCAATACGGCTTTCTCATTTTGACAAGACATACACGAATCATTGCAAAAAGCGCCAAATAACCGTTCTTTCGAGAAGGGGATTGTCTTTATTCCTTTCTCACAGAACTACATTGACAATGAGTCTCTTTACATAGATTTAAAGCCAAGGGAAAAGTACCACTTCAGTCCCTTCAAACATGTCGTTTCCGTATTTTTGTATTAATAGAGGAACCTTATAAAAAACAAAATATCATTGTTCTCGAAAACACTTGATTACACAGAATTGTCGTTTTCAAACTCATAAACTTGTTAATATGGTATTTAAAATACCCGAATGGTAATATATAGGAGGTAGAGACTCGCACGCAAGAAGTGAAGGATATAACTCATGTGGAGCGTATTGGAGCCCATTCTCACATCCGTGGATTAGGTCTTGATGATACATTGGAGCCAAGAGAGGTTTCACAAGGTTTGGTGGGTCAGTGTCGTGCAAGAAAGGTTTGTGGTGTGAATTTGCTGTTTAAGGATTATAGGCTGCTGGAATTGTGGCAAAGATGATCCAGGAAGGTGAGATTGCTGGTCGCGCTGTTCTTTTGGCCGGAGAGCCAGGAACTGGAAAGACAGCGATTGCGATGGGAATCGCTCAATCGCTTGGCGATGACACTCCGTTTACCTCTCTCGCTGCCAGTGAAATTTACTCCTTGGAGATGAGCAAGACGGAAGCCCTTACGCAGGCTTTCCGCAAGTCGATCGCTCTCCGAATTAAGGAAGAGAGCGAGATCATCTGCGGAGAAGTCGTGGAGATTAAGATTGAGCGCAGCTTGACCGGCACAGGCGACAAGATCGGAAGCATCACTCTGAAGACCACAGATATGGAGACGGTATATGAGCTGGGAACAAAGGTACGCCGTTCAAAGCGCTCCTTCCGTAGATGATTAACGCGATTTCAAAAGAAAAGATCAGTTCAGGCGACGTGATTACCATCGATAAGGCCAATGGCAAAATCACGCGTCTTGGCCGCTCCTTCAGTCGCAGCAAGGACTACGACGCCGTAAGCAGCGATGTATCTCTCTCTCTTTCTCTCTCCGCCTAACCCACAGACGAAGTTCGTCCAGTGTCCGGAGGGCGAGTTGCAGCAGCGCAAGGAAGTCGTGCACACGGTTTCGCTGCACGACATCGACGTGATCAACTCGCGCCAGCAAGGCTTCCTCGCTCTCTTCGCGGGCGATACGGGAGAGATCAAGCCGGAAGTGCGCGAGCAGATCGACGAGAAGGTGATGGAGTGGAAGGACAACGGAAAGGCGTCGATTGTGCCCGGCGTTCTGTTCATCGACGAAGCCCACATGCTCGATATCGAGTGCTACTCCTTCCTCAACCGCGCGCTGGAGACCAAGATGGCGCCCATTTTAATCCTCGCGACGAACCGCGGAATCACGACGATCCGCGGGACGGAGTATCAGGCTCCGCACGGAATTCCGCTTGATTTTCTGGATCGGTTGCTGATCATTGCGACCGATCCGTACGAAGAGAAGGAAATCCGGCAGATCTTGAAGATCCGTTGCGAGGAGGAGGACGTGGATATGAGCGATGAGGCTCTCGAGCTGCTGACGACGATTGCTACCAACACCTCGTTGCGATATGCCATGAACATGATCATCACTTCCTCATTGGCAGCAAGGAAGCGCAAATCGAATACGGTGGGAAAAGACGACGTGGGGAAGGTGTTCAAGCTGTTTTCGGATGTGGGGAGATCGGTGAAGGTGTTGACGGAGGACAAAGATAGCTATTTGTATAGCAAAGTTCAGTGGTTTGTTTGTTGAAGAAATCGAAATGTCCGGAAGCAGCTCAGTCCAGTGGCCGTCCATTGTTGGAGCTAAGCGTCGTTTTGATTCTAGGAATTGTCGGTAACGAAGGAGATGCTGGATGGATTGGTTGAGAATGAAATCGTAACGCACGAGCAGCTTTTGAAAATCGAAAAGTACATTATCGATAATCAAAAAGCAGAGGGTGGAAAGATGTCGCAGAAGCGAGCTCCGGATGAAACTTCTGGAGAAAGATCCTACCTAAAGGTCAAGAAGACTATGGAGAACGCAAAGGTAAACAGCAATGTTGTGAATTTCCAATAGGAGAAGGAAGAGAAAACTCTGCTGCCGGAAAAATATGCAGGCACCGTCGATTTGTTATTGTCTCCGCAAGAACAAGAGAACGGTGCGAAATCTCTTTCGGAAGTTGTCCCCTATGACTCTCTTAGTCCTCCAGAAGATAGTGCGGTTTGTCTGTATCGAATTATATCTCATTTACTTGAATCCTCAAAGTCAACAACTGATACTGCATGGAAAGCGGACAAAGAGTTTTTATATAAGTGCCGACAGTTATCCAAGCATGATTCCGCTCTCCTATCACCACTTCTCCCGTCAATCTTTACAAAGCTCTGTTCTTTGTGCAACAGCTTTCGCTCAGTCGTGACAAAAGAAGCAGTGATGGCAGTGGGAGAGTTGTTTAAAGCGTTAAAAGTGGATTTTGATCAGAGTCTATGATTCTTGTGTAGAATGATTGTATTGAGAGCGGAAAGGAGGCGCTGAATGTGATTACTGCGAAATCTGCGAGCGATAAGCAGTTTTTACGGGAAGAGTGTGTGCGTTGCTTAGAGATCGTTTTGTGCTTTGGCTTCTGTTAATTCCTAAGATAGTCGAGAGCTGCGACTCTGCGCGTTTGGCTTCCGTGCTATTGGACCTCACACTTTCGGCCTCAAAGAATCAGAAGGTTCAAGAGAATTGCGCGAAATATCTATTTTTGTGGTGGAACCGCTACCAGAACGTAGAACCAACGGATCATCAATCCATCTCGATTGATGGAAACCGAGAGAAGCTCTTGCTTTCTCTTCCATCGCTGATGAATAGCCACAGTTCTTCTGTGAAATCGTATCGGAGGATAGGAAAGCTTAAGACTAGGGCAGTTGTGTCTTTTATGAAACGGCAAGTGCAAGTGTTTACGAGGGAAGAAGTCCGATCTCTTCTTTTGGCCCACAATGTGAGCGAGTTTGCATTGAAGGAAATGCTCGGAGAGGATGTTACGAGCGAGAAATCAAGTCAGTCCTCCTCCTCCTCCTCCTCCTCCTTTAAGTCGTTTCAATCATTCCGCAAGGCTCAGAAGGAGAAAGAGGGAATCAAAATGTCCCCAAGTGATGTGATTACCGTGTTGTGGATTGTTTCTTCTATCAAATATGATATAGTGGTGATTTGGAAGCTGAGATTTTGAGGGGGTGTAGCTCAGATGGTAGAGCGCTCGCTTAGCATGCGAGAGGTAAGGGGATCGATGCCCCTCTCCTCCATTTTTCTTTTTGTTTTTTTCTGAGCAAGAATGTCAGAAGAAGACCAGACATTTAGTCCTGTTTTTGTAGACGCTCGATCGATGAACTCTAGGACACAATTGAGAGGTTGCTAAAATCACACATGAAGGAGAGTACAAAAATATCTCGCAATGGAGCTATTGCAGCTTCTGAATACCTTCGTTTGTTTGTTGTGGGTTTGTGTTTTCCGTATTTTTAAAATATATGGTAGAGGCTCTTGAGCGGGCACACAAGCAAGCAGAAAATAGCGATGTAGTAACGGCGCGCGACATTCAAAAGATCCTTCCTGAACTATTATTGGATTTCTGAATAGCTCTATTTTGTTTGTTGAACATTTCTATTAAAATAATGGGCACAGAAAGGAGATCATTTAAAAAACCAGTATACAAGACTGACCCGCGGGGAAGAGCATATTCTTCTATCATTCATTAGATGCTATAAAATGGTCGATGATATGGAAAAGTATAGCCATTCTGGGTGGGGATCGATGAAGTCAGTCAGCACTGCTTCTCATTTCAATCCAGAGGAGTACCCTGTATTTAATTTGAATTCTGTGTTTTATACTCTAGCTCCTAGCAGAGTTAGCAGAGTTTCTCGTGCAGTTGCAGTCTATGAATTCTTATGAGGATAACGTCCAGGCTCTTGCATCTGGAACTGTAGTGTTTTGTACCGTTCTGTTAATCTAGATTTTATGTAACATCTTCGCTGATTCCATTAACAGTGATGGAATTGAAGGTTATCACCACGATGCGAGTACTATTTCTAGAAGTTGTTCAGGTTTAGAAGCTAGTTCGGAGTTGGCAGAGGAGAATTTCTCTGTGTTACGTCGTGCTTGCCATGGCATTCAGATTCCTGATGCCTGCATTGTTACTGTGAAGAATTTTGAAAATGGGGATGTAGCAGTTGTGGGCCGTTTTCATTAGTAGTACGATCTGATTGAGTTGATGCTTGTTATGTTCACCATTCGAGGAATGGCATATGGTCTTACCGATGTTCCAGAAGATTTGGAGCGTAAGCTTCGAGATTATGAAATCAAGATTAACTCTCTGCCAAAACGTGATGTGAGAGTGTGCCAAAACATTCTCCATATTTTCCGACTGCAGAATAATAACAAGGATATTCCTGTGATTGAGTCTCTGTCGGATTCAACCAGTGAATCGAGCCATGAAGTGATGGACGATACCGCGTTCTATCAGAGTGATGAGGAGGACATTGATCTAAGAAAGCTTCCTGAGGAGATAATGGACTCCGTGAACAGCAATCCTATTGGTAGTTCGGGCCATTCTGGCAACGGCGGTATTAACCGCGATGCCCTCCCAACCGAAGTCTCGGACTCGATGAACAGCAACCCTATTAGTAGTTCAGGCCATTCTGGTAGCGGCCTCATTAACCGTAATGCCCTTCCTACCAATCTCTCGGACTCAATGCGGTCTAAGTCCTCTATCAGTTCAGGTAGTACTTCCACGGATTCTGAGGAAAGGCAACAGCGTGGTGGCGATAATGATAATGGTGATGGCCATCTGGTTGGGTATGTGGATACCCGGCCTGAAAATTTCCAGCCTGGAAGGGACCCTGCTTTCCAACCTGAAAGTCTCGGTGGTTCAACGAATCAGAATTCCATGGCTGCTTCGGGTTATAATTCTCTGAAACAGGGAGATAAGCAGCATGGTGGTTCTACCCAAGTTGATACCCGTCCTGAAGACGTTGATATTAGAACGATCAATTCTTTATCAACCGAAGACAAGCAGTCTGATGATAATTATAGTCGTCCTGATGCCCTTCCTGAAGACGTTCTGCCTGGCACGAACCCGGCTCTCCGACCTGAAGAATTTGTGCCCGGGGTTCCTGAGAGTGGCGGTTCAGTGGGTGGGACGCATGTGATGAGTTTTCATTCTGTAGACCCATTCCAGCATTTGCGACATCATTGGGACCCGCTGGACAACTGGGAACCTCTTCCGATCGAAGACCAGGAGTTCGAAACAGAGAAGGATTGCGAGTTCCCGTTCCTTTGGGACGATACATCTCCTCTTACTCTCGACGACCGTATTCAGAGAATGGTGGACGCGCTGCATCCAAAGTCCACAACCGTTGTACCTAAACCGCCTTCCGAGACGTCTTCTGTAAGTTCTTCTGAGGATCGTGTTGATCTGCCGAGTCCAGGACCACAGCCTCCTGTGATCAAGGATAGACGAGATGTTATGAAGGATATGGATAACATGGGACGGTTTCCTGACAGTAGTGAGCTACATTTTCAGCCCATTCCCCTTTCCAAAGCTACATTTCCGTCCAGAAAACCGAGTCCTTACATTATCGCCCTCTTCGTGGTACTCATGTTATGTTGCGTTGCTGGATTTATTACCTGTGGTGTTCTGCTCGCAAAGATCAATTAGAGTTTGTAGTGGATGTGTTTTTTTAGCAAACATATTATTATTATTATTATTGTTGTTGTTTTTATAGTTCAGTGATTGAGCTATCCCATTCAATAAAGAGATATTCACTAACCCTTGATGCACAACAGGTTTGCGGAGAAAGTTGAATGAAGCGACAAGAATTGGTGATTACACGTTCGGCAATGAGAACCGAGCAAAGAGGCGAAGTATTCAGCAAGGAGTCGCGCGAGGCTCCACTGTACAGCATATACTCAGACTTTGAACCCCGGAACAACTTTCCTTGGACGGGAACAGCGAAAGGCTGTTGAAAGGCAGGCTGGGCTAGAACCCAAACTAGTGATTGAGTTAGAGCAGCGACTTACTTCCGTAAGGACAATCCAACGGGTTCAAAACGGAGTCATTGTTCACGCAAACCCAAAATCCATCGCTTCCAAAATACACTTCACAGACATGAATCACATCTGTATTGGTGAGAATGGAGGCATCCACCTCCTTTCCCTGACAAGGGAACGAAAAGCATTTCAACTTTGAAGGATCAAGAATCTTATACTCCACGTTGTTAGCCATCCTCCTAGCAGTCCGAAAAAACCCTAACGGTGACTCAAAGCAAGAACGAGCAACCCGAACTCCGAACAGAGTACCCTGGGACAGTCCGAAAAGCCCATTGATCACACGAGTAATAGTCGGGATCGTCTGCATTATCATGCACCATCATAAACTCCGAAATCAATAGTTCGTCTAGAGAAATCCGTTTCAAGTAATCCGGATCAAAGAAGCGAAGGATCAAATGTTTGGCTTCCTCGGAGAGACGTTGATAGGCTGCATCCTCCTTCCGAACCCTGCATTCCGAAATGTTTGTGAGTAGATTGGAGTTGATGCAAGACCCGAAAGGAAACGAGCCCGTGAGTCTACGCATCACGCTCTCTCTTGCGAAGCCCACAAAACGAAGAACAGCACGCCGATCGACCACAAATCCTGCGGAGACTGGAAGGACTGAAACAGAACCCGCTCTCGACTGAAGTACTCCATGTTTTCCAGCAGCAAATTGAACGGATTCTCGCTCTGCGAGGAACGCACTGCGCCCAATCCTACCATTAGCAGCGAATCATCCGGCAGCAGCACGACCTCGTCGATCGAATCGGAGGTCCGCAGCAGAATTTTGCTCAGTCGGAAGTCCCCAGGCAAGATCGAGAGACTCTCGTCCTTCAGCAAGGGCAGGAGCTGACGAAAGACCTTGCGGACGCCTTTCTCGGTCAGAGGCCCGTGCTTCAAGAGGAAGGAGCAGAGAGAACCTCCAGGAATGTACTCCTGCGAATCAGAGGAAGAAGGGAGAAGAGAGGTACATAGAAGTAGAGATCACACTTGTCCTCCCTGTTCCGAGAGAGAAGAGACACGACATGCTCGTTGGGGGGACGAATGATGAGAGACTCTGTCTGGGAGTGAGAGAACGAGCGAGTCGAAAACAGGGCTGAGCGCAGAGGAAGGCTTGGGAACCTTTCGAATCACCACTCTCTTTTCGAGTTTCAGATCGACTGCGCAGCAGAGCTTGGATTTGAACACAAAGCCGTCGTCCGGAGCGAAGGAGGAAGAGCTCATTTCGAAGAGAAAGAAGTATGCTTCGGAAGCGGAGTAGAGAAGGCGATCTTGATGCTGTTGCTGGGTCCAAGACCAAGAATTCAGCCAATTCCATCTACGGTGAACACTGGGCGTGAGAAGTACAGCGAAATAAGTATTGGCTGATGAGAACTATCAATAGAATCTAATTTTGTTCGTATAGTGGCATAACGTATTTCTGGGCTCTGTGAAGATGAAATTATACTGTCACAGATCTCACTCAAAGCAATATTGCAGCTCGGAGAATTCTTCAGGTAAAAAATAAACGGAAAACAGTACTTCTTTCCTGATATCACAGCTAATGATATCTCTGGTTGATAATACCCCTCCATATAGATAAATGAGACGCAGAAGTTGACGTAAATCCTCTTCAGATTGCGATGTAAAGCAAACGCTGTTGTCCTACAGATTGAGAAAAAGGCGAGCAAACCAACTCCAAAACTAAAGTCGACATAATACCCTCTTTCATCTTGCATTAGATAAAGATCATGCAATTTCTTTATAGGAATCATAAGGTCATACTGGTTGGTATGTAGATACACATTTTGGTCATTACAGTAAATGCTGCAGAAATCCTCAAACTCTTTGGTCTAAAGTCACAGTCATTCGAACTTCCATACAAATATCTTTCCAGATATCGATATAGCAATATCGTTATCCATCTATCATCTTTTTTTTATGTGAGTTGTTAGTAATTCGCTATGTTTTTGGTATTCCGATAATTCTGTATAAATGGATTTATCCATAATTCTAAAAAAAACCAGCAAATAATGCGTGTAGGAGTATAGAGTGAGGGAAAGAATCCATTCGAACAACAACCACAATGTGAATGAGCCGATTTTTGAAATTCCACTAATTCGGGCTTTTATTTCTCTGAAAGACAAATATTGGTGGTACCTTGGCGTGAAATCTAGGGTAGTCGATAAATGCCATCCCATAGAAATTATTCAAGGTCTCGAAGTTCCCATCGAGACAATTATTAGTGGGTGGTTTTCTGGAGGAATAAAAGGTAGTGCCCGTTCAGGAAGTGGGTATTCGTCACATAACAGACGCCACTCTGGAGGAGTGTAGGTTTTGAACGTTTGTCTTCAACGTAGTTCGGGAAGTAGCCACCGTACCCACCATCGGAACTCGTATTCTAGCGAGCATTCGAGACCAAGGCGAGAATACCATGGCCATCGCCATCAGAGGTGTGATGTTTGCATAGCATGCGATTCTAGATACCGTGCACGAAGCCGTCACTATTATGAGCATTCTCATAGTCAAAAGCATAGTTATCAGCGCTCGATGTCTCCTGAAAGTGATCGAGACGATTCACATGGTCATTTTATGGGTGAAAAGGGAGATATTTTGAACAAGCATTGTGAGAAGTGGAAAAGGGGTGCAATGCTGTAGACCTGATAACTCGGGAGCTGGGTACAGGAACCTTTGCTCGAGCTTTTGAAGTTAAAGATACTGACACAGATAAATATTATGCAGTGAAAGTGGTTCGAGCCATACACCGGTAGAGTTCGTGTGTGTGTTTCAATTCAGCTACTGCAAAAGCGCCAAAATCGAGGCTAAAATCGCAAAGGACATCACCGAGCGAGACCCGGATCACCGCTTCCACTGCTATCACTTGTACGCGCCTCCTGCGGTCCGATCACATCAATAGAAAGGACGAGTTCGAGTTCAACGGACATTACTGCATGGTGATGGACCTGCTGGGCGAGTCGCTTTACGACGTTCTGAAAGAGAACGACTATCACCCCTTCCCCATGACATATATTCGATCGATTCTGCGCGATGTGCGATTGGCCGATGTTCTTCACCCCCAGCTCTTCGAGGCCTTGGCGTTTCTCCACGGATTCGGACTCACCCACACCGATTTGAAGCTCGAAAACCTCTTGTTCTCTTCGATGCACCACCTCCAAGGTCCCTCTCGTCGCCTCCCCTCACTTCCAGACGTCCCTAATCGCTTTGACACCCCCGTGAAGCTGCCCGGCTCTCCGGAAGTGACGTGTACGCGCTCGTTCTCGCTGCTAGCTAGTGATCGACTTCGGCAGTGCGACCTATTCCACGGAAAGACGCACGGGAACCATCAACACGCGCCAGTACCGAGCTCCGGAGGTGCTCTTCGGCCTTCCCTGGGACGAGGAGTCGGACATTTGGGGCGCGGCGTGCATCGCGATGGAGCTCTTCACCGGCGATCTGCTCTTCCAGACGGTGCGGACTGGGGCGGAGGATGACTGGTAGCACGACGACCTGCTCCACTTCGCACTGATCGAGAAGATCGTGGGGCGGTTCCCGGAGAAGATGCTCCAGGCGATGTCGTCCAGAAAACGGAGGTATTTCGACGAGCAGGGCCGGTTTCTGCTGGACGAGCTCCACCATTCGGAGCAGAAGCATGTCCGCGAACAGTCAACGCTGCAGGTTCGGGAGTGCGGGGGAGGTGAGCTCTAGGAGCTGATAGGCGAGAAGTATCCGCAGTTTTTGGACTTGATGACATCCTGCTTGGTGATCAGCCCGCAGAGACGGATCACCGCTTCGGAAGCGCTCCAGCATCCTTTCTTCGCAGGGAAAGATTGAGTTGTGCTTTCTCCTGTTTGTTCCATAAATCTGGGCTTTTTTTCGTTTTTTGGTTTGGGTCACTATCTTCTGATGTGGTCGACGCTTTCCTATACGATTTGCGATAGTAGGGGGCAGAGGCGGAGGGCGACGTCTAGAGTCCGATTTGCTCCTGCAGGGACTTGAACTAGACTATGACGCACAATTGCATCTTCCTGTCGTTTCTGCCGTGTCGAAAATGTTTGTTTACCGCGGATCTGTCATCTGTAGGATGCTAACGACAACTATTTCCATCGAGATTGGGGATGTTTTATTTTGCGTTAATAGTAGCGAAAAGCAGAGCGAGTCAACATCTAGATCACTACATTTCTCCTACGGAGAAGACTGTACTTTTGTTTGAAGAGATTCAGAATTTGTTAAAGTCTCAAGAATCTTCTACTTTACGTTTAATCCACAAGAAGGACGTGGTGTACGACCAACGTTTCGCTCTAATCTCTAGTCTACCTCGCAACCCCTTTTTTCAAATTGTTATCGTCGATGACACGATTCGTTTTACCGTCGAAAAGTCCATCACGAAGGAGTGCGTCGTTATCAGCAGTGTAAACAAGTCGCTCTTCTCTCCCTGCCTAATTCTCTCTAGAGTGAAGCGTCAAGGCCTCGTCGGAAGTTTGCTGTGCGGTTTTAATGAGCTTAACGTACTGACCGAATCGGAAGAGGTCGTGAATGCCCTGTTTTCGAAGGTAGGGCTCTCTGGATTGGGCGGGTCGAACCTAGTGCCGATTGCCTATCGTGCTTCTGCTTGCTTCCCCCTTCCAAGCCTCGATCCCGCAGATAGCGGACGTCGATCGTTTTATGGCCCCTTATGCGACCGATCTGATCGCCCAGAAGCGCGATCTCGAGAAGCGTCGCGACGCGATCGATCCGTTCCAGAAGTTGAATCCAATCGATGAGAAATCGCCTCACTCTCCGCCGGAGTCCAGTCCGGAGGCCGCATCGAATGTGGATGAAGCTAATACCAATAATACTAATCATACCAATAATGGAAATAACAACAACAACAACAACAACATTAGTTGTAGCAGCAGTACTACGATTAGTAAGGACACGTCCAGCGAGTGGTACGTGGAGGAGATCGACGAGGGCGTGGACCATTACATGTTTCCTCGCATGATGGGCTATTTAGTGCTCGAGAAACAATACGAATTGTACTCTTCTCGCTCCGCAGCTCTCTTCTAGATCGCACTCGGCGCTGCTCGCCGACAGAGAGACTCGCTGGAAGAGCTTTCTCGCACGCATCGGCGGCGTGGAGTCGCTGTCGTTCAAGCTCACGCGGCAGAGCGGGAATCGCTGGAAGATCTTCAACGTGACGCAGGAAGACCGCAACCGCCAAGAGCTTCGCGGACTGATCCATGAAGGCGTCGAAACGTCCGGGGAGCTCAACGTGTAGGTCCCCGAGCATCTGCGAGGCGATGTCTGGTACTACGTGAGCGGAGCCAACGAGATGGCGCAGGCCAGCGCGAACTCGTACCACGAGCTCTGCCAGATGGAGGTGGACGAGGCGGTGAAGCGGATGATCGCGCTGGACATTCCGCGAACCTTCGCGAACAACTCGCTGTTCCACGCGGAGCAGGATCGCCCTGCGCCCTACGCGGACATGCTGCGATCGATCCTCTACGCGACGAGCCAGCGACGCACGGACGTGAAGTACTGCCAGGGCCTGAACTACATCGCGGCCTTGCTGCTGCTGGTCCAGCACGACGAGGAAAAGGCGTTCTGGACGCTGCAGGCGATCATGGAGCATCTCTTCTCCAAGGACTACTTCAATGAGCAGCTCGCAGGCGCGCGCGTGGATCAGAAAGTCCTCGAAATGCTCGTTCAGCAGCAGATCCCCGATCTCCAGAAGCGACTCCGCGAGGGAGGCTTTGAGTTGGTGATGTTCACGCTCCCCTGGTTCATCTGTCTATTCATCAACACACTCCCGTTCATCACCGTGATGCGCGTCTGGGACGTGATCATGTTCGAGGGCGATAAGGCGTTGATTCGAATCGCTCTGGCACTGCTTTCCATCGGAGAGCGGGAGCTTCGCGGCTGCACCGAGTTCTCGGAGTTCTCGAACACGTTTAAGTAGGCATGAGGGAGGATGGTGAGGGACAGGCAATTGGGCGCGTTGCTGTTCGATGCGGACAATTTGTTGGATGTGGCGTATCAGAAAAAGATCGCAGAGGGAGCTTCGGAGAAGGTTATATTCTTCCGAAGAAAGGAGCTTGCGAAGTGGAGAGAGGAGATGCGAAGTACGCTTTAAAGATAGTGGGCGAGTTGAAGTTTGGAAGTTTGCTTCTTTCTTTCTTTATTTATTTTTATGATACTTGTTTGTTTGCTCCAATCACTTTTCCCGCCAAACATTTTATTTTATGAACTACATCGAAACTGAACATTTAGGCATCAAGACCACCTATAAACCAGCGGTTGTTGTGGACTTGCTTGTGGAGGCCTATCGTTCTCTTCAGGACGGAGGAAGTCTGCGGGACAGCACCGAGGCTGGAGAACTGCTTAACCAAATGGTCCAACACGTTCGAGCTCAAGAGTCCATCCCACATCCTCCCACTGAAGTACAAGAATCGCAGAATGTGCTTGACACCTTATCCACCTTGCACAAAGCAGTACAACACACCGAGGAAAACAGTCAAGAGTTGCAGTTTAAGAATTCAAGTTTGCAACAACAGCTAGATCACGCGAATCATCGTGTCTCGACACTCCAACAGAGTATTCAAGAGGAGTTAGATTGTTTTTTAGAGCTTTCAGACACTACAGCAGCGAGCACACTGCTCATGGAAAAGCTACGAGACTCTGTTGATAACCGAACGGCATTCCTCCAATCCGAGCAGTCCGTGCGAGTTCTTCAAGAACAGTCGAGTTCGGGATCCAAGTAAATCCTAGAACGGCGAAGCAGCAGCAGCAGATTCGCGAGCTGGAAGAATCATTAGCCGCAGAGAGGCAATATATTGTGAATGGTTTGACAAGGGTCATATCTAGAGATATTTTCAACAAGAATCTCAAGCTGCTTTGCGTATGGCTGAATTGCTTTTTTTCTTACATATAGAAAGTATAAAGGACGACGCAAAGAAGACCCAAGATCAGGCACTGGAGCTCATTGACCAACTTCGAAAGCAGTTATTAACGTATGAGAAGGAGTAACGTGTTGTATAGAACAAACACACATAAACAAAACCATTACGGTACACTTATGGATTTTCAATCTTGGGGCCTTCCCAGAGTCGATCGCCTACCACGTAAGTAAAGATAGTGCATCCAGTACGGTAATAATCCTCAATCAACGACAGTTCATCATTGGCTTGCTCAACGAGCTCCTCGACCTGACCACAACCAATGATCTTCTCAATCGTCTTCACCTAGACATCACACGGAGCAAGAAGATGAGACATCCTCGTTTTCTTGAACAATTCTTCTTCTATAGGTGGTGAACGCCTCAACGTTCTTTCTGTACTCTGTATCGGCTGGGATCTTCTATACAATGAGAGAACAGAAGCTACGGAGTTACTTTCACATTCTCTAGAGTTTTATCGTAAAGTTCTGTGAGAACCGCTCTCGCGTTCGGAATGACAGGAACACCCACAAGTCCGGTCGTTCTTTTTACCATACTGCAAAGAGCCCTTGTAACAAACATTCTACAACAAGTCATAAACCAGCCCATATCACATTGCATTTCCCCTACATTCACGATCCAGGTCACTAAGTTTCTGCGACACTATCGTAGAAGATAAAAATAGTCCCGAATTTTGCACATTATCGAACAAACAATTGAATAATCCATCTGATCTACAGGCTCCCACTGCTCGTAAATGTCCCAAAAACGCCTCGCTTCTTCGATAGTTTCCTTCGTCGGGTTCTTCTCCAGATTGGAAACATGCTCGGCAATCATCTAATCTCGCACCCCTCAGCCTCCACTACCTTCAACGTTTCGCAGATCGTCGACACCAGCTGATATTCCCCATTGGCGACCTCCGCCTTGGCCCTCTCCTCGAGTCCTCGTTTCAAACTGCGCAAATTCCCCAATAATTCCTTTTTGTTCATTTCTCTCTTCATTTCTACTCGATTCTCTCTCGACTCCACGCTCTTCTGCAGCACTCCTCCTTTCAGCCGCTCCCTCACCTCTCGGAAATAGGGATGCTGCATGCACTCCCTCGCTGTGAACCGTTTCTGGTGGTCATAAATCAGCAAATTGTCCAGCAGGTCGAACAACTCCGTGCAGATGTGGCTCGAATCGATTCCAGACGCGAATTCCGACCAATCGCGACGTCGACAGCTCCCCAAACTCGCGATGAGCGTTTCGTTCACCTGCAGATTGTACTTCTGGATGTACCGGTGCAGCTCGGTGGTGCCCAGAACGTTCACGATCACACGGAGCTGGTCGTCATTGCCGTGAGCACGGAAGAAGGGAAGCCGATTGAAGACCATTCCGGCCACAATGCAGCCGAAGGACCACATATCCACCGAGTAGTTGTAGTACTACGGGACGAGTGGAAGCAGAGAAGATACCTCGTCGTTGAGGAGCAGTTCGGGGCCTTTGTAGTTGCGAGTACTCACACGCACATTGCTGGGCAGCTCTGAATAATAGTACCATGAAGAGGGACCTACGTGGGTTGTAGAAGGACGCGAGGCCCCAGTCGATGATAAAAACCTCTTTCGTTGTGTAATCAAAAAGTACATTTCCGGGTTTTAAGTCTCGATGCATGATGCCTTTACTATGTGCGTAGTCCAGACCGATTAGAATCTGATAAAAGTAGTAACGCAGTTCGTAGTCACTGAGAGATGACCAGTATTTCTAAAATCAAGACTAGAGAGAACAGATACACGATAAGGCAGCGCTTCCACCCACTTTGTTACTAAGATGGGAGTATCTTCGTATGGATTTCGGAGTTTATCCAGCAATGGTAAAATCGAGGGACCTCCTCTTAAGATATCCATTACTTTGATTTCTCTATAATTAATTATCGTGTCTGCTTTTAAATCCATACCTTTTCATTTTTTGCCTATTCAGAGGCTTCAACTGTTTAATGCTAACGTATTCACCCGTTTTCCTGTCATATGCTTTAAAAACTTCACTGAACTTTCCACGCCCTACAGAAGCGATAAGTTCATATCTGTCTCGAGAACTAAAGCGATCAGAGCGAACAAACGACTTTACCCATATTCAAAATTGTAGTGGGCATAGTCACAGTAATCTGCAGGCTGGGATGTAACAGCATCTGCATATTCGCGTGCCACATTCATAATGAAACAAAAAGTGGTGTAGTTTAGTAGTGCTACCGATTGTGAATTGTATAAAAATAATATTGTTCAATAGTATTGGATTATGCGAATAGTGAATTGGACTAACTGAAGATAGTTAGAGGTCGGCAGCTGATGGGTAAAATTATTATTATTATTGTTGTTGTTATTATGAATCGATCTATTCTTAGAATTATCATATACTGATAAATAGGATAAGTGGTTATGATTTTGTTGTTATATGTTAAAAGAGTGACACGGAGATTAGTTGTTAAGGATTATAATGAATAATCATAGAAAGTAATTATTGTATTATCTTTGTTTGTCATTGATTTGCTCCTTTTCAAATAATATCTTGCGTAGTTTTGTGAATATGAAGCGAGGCACACAAGTGTTTTTGTTGAATCATTGATCAAATTAAGAGAGGCATGGGGCATCGAATATGATAAAGAAAGCGGAAATGTAGCAACAGAACAATGAAAGAAGTGATTTGATGTTTCAATGGAGATACGATGACCGAATTCAAGCGAAATGGAACGGATAGTTTGGATCCAATGAAACAAGATCCGATTTATATAGGTGGATTTCGCTATGATGAAGACAGTGATACGATTTAGTCGTGAAGGCATTGGATGTTTGATTGATATCCAGAGTGGAATGGAACTCGAGAATGTGAATGGAAAGATGGGGCGGAAGTGGGTAAAGTGCATCTGTATGGTGGTAGATAAAACCCAAAATTGAGGGTTGTTTCATCAATAGCTGTGATTTTCAAATATGCTCAAATTCATGTTTCCACTTTAATAGTTGTTGCTAATAAACGCGAATAACGTGCCCTTCTAAGTATCAACATCACTGGATTTTTAGAATGAACTGATGTGAATTTGCAAGTGACCGATTTGACGATTTATCGAATTGGTGTAACGATTTGAATGCATTGGATCTGAATCGATTCGAGTGGCCACGATCTATCGAAATCGGCGATGAAAGTTTTGGATCAGTGGAAACATTCAAAATCGATGGATTGAATCGATTAAAAACTATCATTATCGGAAGCAATTTATATTCTCAGCAAAGGTGTGAAGATGAAGAAGAAGAAGATGATGATGATTTTTAGCTTTGATAACTTATATGAACCAGGTACAAATGATCATCAACTAATAATAAAAGTGAAAGTGATGTGCATTGTGTGCGAATTCATTAAAGTACCGCGTTTTTTTTAATAATGCATATCATTGATAAGAACACCTGCAATATGGAATGCATTATAGCCATATGAACTTCAAAGAAATATTAATACTGTTCGAACACTTTTATTACTCATCTCACAAGAGTTCCAAATGCGGCACATACACAGTACTTAGAAAAACAACCAACCTGAATGATAGTAGTTAGTAATTAACGTATGTATCACATCGGAATAAAATTTATCATATCATACATTCAAAGATTATTCTTACTATCACACATTTATACAATAGCAAGACAATAACCATCTCGTATGTTTTGTCCATTTATGAAATCATTCTCACACATAAACCACCTTTTTCACCACACCTAACACACTCAAAACATGCAGGATGACCAATCTGTGTGATTCCATTCACAATATAGTTTAACAAACATGGGTTAACCATTACAAAAACTAAACTTCATCTTCTCGAAGCAGCATATTAGGAATGCCTTGCTCAATCACATACTCTCGTCCACAGTGGCGACAGACAAGCTTTCCGGACATCACTTCGAGTTCCAGCAATGCATGGTGAATATTCTTCAAAACCTCGTCATTAAGATCAGAAGGAAGAGTTTCTGGTATTGTGTAGCCAATCTACATTTTCCAGGTTTCGGTAATACCTACATCGGCTGCCCCAGATCGGAAAGCTGCCCAATCAATCTTTTTGATGAGCTTGAGGATAAACTCGCGATTAAAATCATCTTCTCTTTCTTCGAGTCCTCCTTCATTTAAAACAATCTACATAACATGGTTTCCCCAACTCTCCAATACCTGCAAGGGAAAATTCCTTCTTTTTTGTTCTTCAGGGAGCCCTGCATTGTCGCTCTCCACAGTCGCAACGCATTTCTACAGTTGAGAAATCAACTCGATTCCGAACGGCGACATTGCAAAGTAAGAAATTATGAGTCATTAATCTCATGGCTGGTCAGAAAAAAGAATATGGATTGCGGTGGCAAAAATAGTGATATTTTTTTCATCAGACAGTCTTTCTCTCTATTACTCTATCGAGTCGATCATGATCTCTCTGGTCAATCGAGGCATAACCAGAACTTTTCTTGATTCAACAGTTCGTTCGTTTTCTGTTGTTGCTGGTTCCACAAAGTCAAGACACCGCCATGGAGAATACCCTCCTTCGGAGAGGAAAATTAAGCGAAATCAGAGGAAAGAAGAACGACGGAAACTTGCAGAGCATTACAAGTTGTTAGATGAGGAAGCAATTAAATCCAACTTCGAGAAAAAGTGGTGCTGTAAGTTGTCCCTGTGAGAAAACGTGATTCTCTCTGAGGAATAGAATTGTGGAACGTCAGCCCATTGTGTTCGGGCAGCCGCCTGAGTGGTACACAAGGTTCGAGAAAATTCGTGAGCAACGTCGTTTAGATAAGCTGATGCCTCCCTATGACAAAGTTGTCGATAGTATCATCAACGCTCGCGAGGAGACGTTTGAATTGGAAGATAAGGATCGGATGGTGCACGCTCTTCCCCGCCTCAACGCATAGGAAATGAAGAAGCTCCACGAAGCCTCTACATCGGACATCACTCCTGCGGATAAGGCAAACGACCGCCATTCCCTTCTGCGAAACACCCCCGGCTTCCTCTACCTGCTAATCGACACACCCGCTGGTTGGTCATTCCCCAGCGTTGAATTCGATGAGTCCAAATACAAATCAACGCGAGAAGTTGCCTCCCTCTTTCATATCTCGATTCTAGGCTCTGGAGAGACTGGCCGCAGCGACCTACGGCAAGGATCTGCAGTTGTTTTACTGGGGATACCCGCCTTGCGTGCATACAGCGTTTTTCTCTGAGGCGGTTGATGAGTGTAGACGAAAGTACTCCGAGCAGGAGCAGAAGAAGACTCAAACTTTTGGAGAGAAGGTGTTCTACTATCGCGCTGCTCGTCTGATCGGAGATGTGGACCTTCCTCCGTCGGTGGGAAAGGATTTCAATTGGGTATCGTTGATGGAGATTCCGGAGTATATCAAGGACGAAAATCTCGTTGGTTATTTAAATCGTGTTTTGGAATAGATTGTTTGTTTCACAAAGAGGGAAGGCCTTCTTTGATTGTTTCTTTTCCTGCTCTTGCACGCTTTGATCAATATTCTTTTGAACAAGGAGAGCATACGCTTTATATTTCTCTACACAACTCTCAAGGCAGCTCTTTTCGGTGGAATCAAGAGTTGGGCTTCGTAACGATTTTATACATTGATCAAAGCAAGTTTGTGATAATTTGTTTGTGTTTCTAGACATTAAACGTCAGATGGTTATGTACTTCATAGCACCCTCATATTCTTGCATAGCCAAATATTGATTCAGTGCCTGATTTCCCCAGAAACCTCGATTCATTCGATTTATTTAAAACAAAACGATAATAGCCAAACACACAAATTTTGAGGTGAAAGAGTTTTCATAAATAGTTACTCCCACGTTATTGAATCCGTTAGTATTGTGTATACGTTGAAAATACGGAGATAATAGGTGAAGAAAAAGAACGCTATATTGTTTTTTCCTATGATGAGCAGTGTAATCATTGAAAATGATGTAATATGATGTGATATGATATGGTGTGGAGAATCCCTAATCAAAATAGTATATCTGTGAAACTTGCTTGGGAATAGATGAATGTGAATAAACATGAAAGGATCGATATGTTTTGGATGCTGTTACAACCATATCAAGAGCCACATCATGCTCGGAGACAGGGACCGATTCGACTATTTGCTCTTCAAACGCAACACCCTAATAATAAGAATACAGAAGGACTATTATACCATTAGAATAGGATATTTCCTTTGGTGTGACTGGCACCAATGTTTCAAAAACTCAAATGAACGATCTATTCACCACTCCTAGGCACCGAAAACCCTACCATAGTATCCCTTTCCGTGTCCCAGTCTTTGGCAATGGGAATCAAATGCCACTCCGGGAACAATAATCAAGTCCGGAGTTAGTTCAGGATGAAGAAGCAATCGATTTCCATCATGATACTCCGGTATCGGGATTCCCCACTTGTCTCTCGGGAGAGCGTCGATTACTGAGCAGGAATCAATCGAAACCCACTCAAATTCTGAATCAGTGAGAATCTTGGGAACAACCACAGATTTCCCACAACCAAAGCAATCCTCCATAATACAGCGAGTATCAACCTCGGTGTTCATCGGTAAGTAGAGACCCACCGATTTAGCACTGTGGTATTCTTTTAGGTTCTTTATACTTCCAAGTATTCGAGTACTCTGCTCCATTTTTGATTCAGCCGAGAGAGTTCGCAAAACTCTTCCAATTAGCTTCCGGAGATCTTTCTTTGTAGCGACAGACATAATTTTCTCTTACAAAAATCTAGAATCCAAGTATTGTTTCACGAGTTCGATATTCGATAAATCGATTGCTAATGAGATCCAAGAAAATGTAAAAATTCGAATGACTCACTGTGATATAGTGAGCGGAACGCAGTTATCTCGTTTCGAGTTGAGGAGTATGATTATCATGGAGGAAAAATACAGGTATCGACCAGAATAAAGAATAATAATTTGATTATTTCGGTCGGGATTACCGCATAATAATGAGTTTCGGCAATTGGTCCTGTAGTTATTAATGCATTGAAACTATTTGTAGCTAATGCAAAAGATTTCACTCCCTCTTGGGGAAACTTTGGTGATGACTCTGGAAGTGGAGACTTTGTCCCCTCCTTTATTAAAGCACCTGTTCCGCAACAGCCTTCGATTACCAACCAGTTTGCCAAGAAGAAGCCCATTACCCTGGCTTCACTCGGAGTGTCAAATCAAAACCTGGGTGGTGCGAAGAGTGTTGCCTTAGGAAAGAGCGCAACTCCCGCTCCCGCTCCCACTCCCGCTCCCACTCCCGCTCCTGCCCCTGCTCCTACTTCTGCACCTGTATCTGTTGCTGCTCCTGCTGCTCCTGCTGCTCAGGCCGCACCCAGCACATCATCACTTCCGACTGCACCGAAAACTGAAAAGACTGCTAGCGAGGACGTCACTTCTCCTGAATCGGAGTGTCTTGATGTGGATTCTCCGGAAGTGGCTACCGAAACCGAACCTTCTACTGTTTCGTCTTTTTACGCGCGTCACGCTTTAGACTGCGTCTTTCTCGCTCGACGAGCTCATTGCCAAGGAAGATCCCCGCGAGAACATCAATGTCGTGTTCATCGGCCATGTCGACGCCGGCAAGTCCACCATCTGCGGTAACATCATGTTCACAACGGGCATGGTGGACAAGCGCACCATCGAGAAGTTCGAGCGCGAAGCGAAGCTGCGTAACCGCGAGAGCTGGTTCCTGGCGTACATCATGGACACGAACGACGAAGAGCGCGCCAAGGTCGCTATGGAGGCCGTGTTGAACGTAGGGAATCACGGTGGAGGTGGGTCGCGCCTACTTCGAAACGGAGCACAAGCGGTTCACCGTGCTGGACGCGCCCGGCCACAAGAACTACGTGCCGAACATGATCGCAGGCGCCGCGCAGGCGGACGCCGGCGTGCTGGTGATTTCGGCGCGCAAGGGCGAGTTCGAGTCGGGCTTCGAGCGGTCCGGGCAGACCCGTGAGCACGTGCTCTTGGCGAAGACGCTGGGCGTGAAGCGTCTGATCGTGGCGGTGAACAAGATGGACGAAGAGACGGTGAAGTGGTCGGAGCGTCGGTACAACGACATCGTCACGAAGCTGTCGCCCTACCTGAAGCGCGTGGGGTACAACGTGCAGGAGGACGTGACGTTCCTCCCCGTGTCGGGTCTGCGCGGATACAACCTGAAGGAGGGCATTCCGGAAGGCATGTGTCCCTGGTACTCCGGACCCTCGCTCTTCCAGATCCTCGACTCCATGCAGATCGAGGGACGCGACGCCTCCGCGCCGCTCCGTCTCCCCGTTCTCGATAAATTCAACGACCGCGGATGCGTCATCACCGGAAAGGTCGAGTCCGGTCGTCTGGTGGGCGTGGATCCCCGCGGTGACGCGTAGATCGTGGGGAACTCGGTGCTGCTGATGCCGAACAGCCGGAAGGCGGAGGTGCAGAGCATCACGATCAACGACAAGGAAGTGCTGTCGGCGAAGCCGGGCGAGAACGTGAACGTGCGTCTGAAGGGAATCAGCGACTCGAACGTGTTCCGCGGGTAGGCGAGGCGGGGAGGCGCGATGCGTAGAGACATCATCTGCCACGAAGATCTGCACATCCACGCGGTGAAGGAGTTCGAGGCCCGGCTGGTGCTGCTGGAGCTGCTGGAGAACCGCCGCATCATGACGGCGGGGTACGGAGCGGTGCTGCACATCCACACGGCGGTGGAGGAAGTGATGATTACCGACCTCATCGCCGAGCAGGACCGCAAGACCAAGGCCATTAAGAAGCATCCCAGATTCGTGAAGAGCGATAGCATCGTGTTCGCGAAGCTGTCGCTCTCGAAGCCGGTTTGCATGGAGATGTTCGATTCCATGCCGCAGTTGGGACGATTCACCATTCGCGATGAGGGAAAGACGATTGCCATCGGAAAGGTGACCAAGATTATCAATTGAGGTGTTTGTTGCATACGGAAGCGGTGGGGAGGAGACTCAGTTAACAGAGATTATCCTGTGTAGATGGAATTCGTTTTTTATTGCTCGACGTGCCAGTGGGAGCAAGTACATGGTGGTGACGAATAGAATGCACGTTGATACGCGGGATGTGGATGGTCAAATTCAGTGTAGTGTCGTACTTTGCTTATTTTGCTTGTTAAGTAGTGTGGCAACACCAATCTGGAGCGCATTCCTTCTCAAGATGTTATCGATTTGGATATTACCTAGTATTCCATTTCTTTCATGGTTCATTGTAGTAATCAGGACGAAGAGTCCAGATTCGTATCGATCAATAATGGAGTGACTGTTATTCGTTTTTTCAACCAAGGAAGTATATCTATCAACGTTAACTCTTCAGGCGTAATGAAGTATATATGAGTCTCATTTCTAGGGAGTGAATCGAAGACTTCTTTCAAGTATAATTCGTTTGTACCCTTGTTAACCCTTTTTTACCGCAGAATCCTCCCCCGGGTGCGAATAGATCTGGATGGTACGTTAGGAGAGCAATCCCTCTACCCTTTTTCGCATTACCTATCGAATCGCGTTCGAGACGTTCTGCATCAGCTTCCTATTGCCACTATCAATGCTCCTCCGATGCTTAATCCGCTCCACCAAAGCTGTTCCTCCTATCTCTCCTCTCTGCCCCTCATTTCGCTCTCTTCCACTGAGGAATGTTCGATTTGCGAAACCGAATACGCGCCCAACGACGACATCGTGAAGCTCCCGTGTGGTCATGCATTTCATCTCGCCTGTATCTCCACCTGGGGCGAAAAAGTACGGACATGGCTGACATCATCAATGCATAGCACAACAGCTGTCCGCTTTGTCGTTCCGTGATCCAGCCCCCAGGGCACATCCCAGCCAGACCGGCAATCGAAGCGGATCCTCGCTTGGAAGCGCAAATCGAGCTGCGTAGTGAAGAATTGGAGCGTCAAATCGACGATCGAATTTCGGAGTTGGAACGCGAAGTGGAGACGCTGACCGACGCACTCGATGAGCTGATTCAACGCCGAGACGACGATCTAGCATCGTTAGAAGATGAGAAGGGGAGACTGCTCGACTTCTTGGAGAATCGGCGGGACTTTCTGGAAGAACGCGTGAGCTGTGTGGAGCAGGAGCGCGATCAGCAGATCGAAGGATTGTGGGACGAGAAGAATTGGTTGCAGGAGAGTCTGTTGCTACAGCAAGATAATTTGCTTCTAGATATGGATAATAAGCGAATGTTGTTTGAAATGGAAGTGGATAGGCGATGGGAGAATGATGAAATGGCGAGAAACGAAGCGTTGAATCAGTTTAACGCGAAGCAGCAAGCTCGTTTGGACGAATTCAATTCGATGATGGAGAAGCGGCTGAAGGCGTTCGATGCGAAGATCGAGGAGGTGAAAGAGTCGTTCGATTCGCAGATCAAAACGCAGAGAAGAGTGTTTGAGTCGTATTACCAGGCGGAGATGAATATAACCAACGTGCAGAGAAAGGCGATACTGGATAATTTTGAGGAGCAAAAGCAAGCGTTGGAGAGTCGGAAGAGATCGTTTGAAGCGGAGATTCGAACGCAACAAATGGCGAAGTTGAGCGTTCGAAGCCGAGCAGAGATGGAAATCCGAAGAGAAAATGAGCGAAGAGCCTTGCGAGAAGGCAATGAGAATCGAAATGAAAATCGAAATGAAAATCGAAATGAGAATCGAAATGAAAACGACAATCACATTCATCATGAATCTCCCATTCAGAATCACATTCATCATGAATCTCCCATTGCGAATGAGAATGGAGAAGAAAGGCGGGAGAGAGAGACCGAGAATCGCAACCTTCATCAACTCGAAACGATTCGAACTCGGCAAACTACCCTCCAAACACAAATCGAATCATTAACAAACCGAGAAGCCGCTCTTCGTTCCACATTGCACGACTTGATTCGTCAGCGAGATGAAGTCGATGCTCGAAAGAACGAGTTGAGCAATCAAGGATGGTGGTTTTGGATTCGAAGAAATGCGAATAAAGCGCAAATAGAAGCTCTCGATGCTCAACGCAACGCCCTGAGCAGCAGCATCGAAAAAACAAACCTGCAACTCTGTACTCTTAACGCGCAGCTCGCTTCTCTTCGAGCCGAAATCGACTCTCTCCACTCTTCGCAAAATCTGCAAGACGGGAACGAAACTCCCGATCTCGATTGCAATGTTTTCAACAAACACCCGAAAGCACAGATTTCAAACCAGACACGAGCAGCAGAGCCACGAGCACCCACTGAATCTTCTTCGCAGGCATTTTTCCCGCGACCTTGCTTCCAATTACACCGCCCACTACCGAGCCCAAGCAGATCGGCAAGGCCGTTCCAAGAACAAGATTGCCCTTCTTATAGCTCAGATGCGCGGAGATCGAAGTGGGAATAATCATCGAAGCCTACACATCAATCCTTCATCCAGCAGCCACCAGCGACGTTCCCATAATTTTCTTAGGAGCCATCTGCGTAAACAAACAGAGGCTGGGAGAGACGATGATTCCTCCTCCCACGCCGAAAAAGCCACTCATCGTGCCAGCCACCAGTCCCAAACTCAGCAAAAGCGGACTGTGCTCCACTACCTCCGACTGCTTCATTGCCTCCATCGAAAGACAGTCGCGATAGCCCAGCTTCGCGTTTTCCTCGGCGAGATTGCTGACCTCCTGGGCCTTCTTCTGGGCTTCCTGCTCCTTCCGCTTCTCCATAATGCGCGTTTTGATGGGAAGAAGCGGAGCGACTAAAAGACAGAGAATTCCGTAATAGCGCTTGAGTTTTTTCGACTCGAAGTTGTGAGACCACTTCGAGCCGTAGCGAGCCATGATCATTGAAGTTACAGTGATTGCCGCAGCTGCGGGAATATCAATCAAACCTTGGGAAATGTAAGTTCCCGTACCAGTGAGAGCGGTTGCGAAAATCGAGACTAGAGAACACGAGGCCGCCTGGTGCTGCGACATTCCACCAAAGGTAGTCAAAAGTGGAATGATGATGAACCCACCACCCAGACCGACCATGGATCCAAGGGCCGAGGCCACTAAACCGACGGTGAATCCGGCCACGTTTCGTTTGAGAGCAGAGGACTCGGGTTTCACGACGGTTTGTGTCGCTTCTTTTGCAACCTGTTCAGTTGCGTTCGACACGATCTTTTCGCCTTCTTGTGACGTAGCAAATGCCCGGACACAGATTGACGCGGTATTGGGAGGAAGGACAAATCGCAGAGATGGGGAAGAAAACCCTCCTCTGCATCGAGCAGCAGTCCTGACCACCACGCTCACACCACGAGAAACCCTGAACACACTAGACGCAAGCATAATTTGTGGAAACAAAGAACACAAATCACTCTTTGACCATACACTAACAATTACGCCTGAGCGCTTCCCTCCGTGATATTCATAGGCTTCAAGTCCGTCGTAGTGGGGTTCACCACGACCTCTCCCTCCTCTCCGGTCTCCTACACTTCATGTCGCCCCAATGCGGCTACAAGCTTGTTCTGAGGGAGTCCATACTCCTCCTCCTCGTCCTGAATATCGGTAGCGAGCTCGCTATGGTGCGCATAGGCGGCCGAGTTCTCGGTGGGTCTCCACATGTACATGAGACAGAGGAAGAGCAAGAAGTAATAGAGACTCCACACGCCTTCGTTCATGCTGCCGCTCAGCCCTCTCCCACGCCCCTACAACCACTGGAACCGCCACGTGTTCGGGATGTCCTCGTTGTTCACCAGGTAGCTGAACACAATCAGGGTAACCGTGGAAACCACCACGCTCACCAGCAGCAGCGAGTACAGACGCACGAACACCGCCAGCTTCGCGTGCTGCTTGTTCTGGCGCAGCTCGTCCATCGTGTTCATCAGGCTCTGGAACACCCAGAAGTACACCAGCGCGTCCAATCTCCCGTTTCAGCCCCCAACCGAGCCTACCCCGCGGTTACGTACACTCGCACGTGATTGAGCATCTCGGGGACGTCGGAGCGGACCGCGAGGAGCGAGTCCCAGAGCGAGACGGCGAAGTAGACCACGGCGAAGATGACCACGCGGACCGTGACGTCGGAGACCGTCGCGCGGCTGATGCCCAGGCTAGGCGTGATCCCCGCGGGACGAGCGTACCCCATGCAGACGAGGAGGGTGAGGACGCGCGTGAGCGTGCGAGTGACGGCGTCGACGAAGAGGGAGAGGTAGATGAAGACGTCGTTGCCGCTGGAGTTGTAGATCCAGAGATAGAGGACGCGGACGAGACTGTTGATGACGAAGGAGATCAGCACCACCTAGCGGTGAGAGAGAGAGAGAAAGAGGGTACGAGGATCATGAGATGGACGGACATGATCTCCTTGGAGTACTGGATGCACAACATCACCCAAACCACCAGAGTGAACAGATACGCGAGACTCATCCAGCCGAAGAACGGCAGGCTGTAGTACTGCGTCGCGGGCAGGTGGCCGTACACGTTCTCGGCCGTCATCATGCCGCTCAGACGCGTGTTCGGAGTGATCGACGGGTCGCAGCTAGCAACTCAGAGAGACATGGCTGATCATACACGGCCGCGACCACGTAGTACATACCGCTGTTCACGATCACGCTCGACAGATCGACGGTGTTCGTGCGGCTGCGGGTGAGATACAAGGGAGGAAAGGATACGAAAGATCAATCTCTTCAAGCTTGACGTTGCTCATGTACTTCTCGGGAATGACGAACTTGTTCGGTTCACACTTCGCAGCCTGCGGTGAAAGTCAAAAACACAAAAAAACCTTAACACCGGCTTCATCACAGCAAGGAATCAGGAATCCAGTGGCATTGCGATATCCCATGTTTTTATAGGTTCTCTCTGGCATGATGGCAGCCTAGCTGGCGAGCAAAACAGAATGTCTACAAGGATTTTACCCTGAAGCGGTCCTCCATTGCTACTACTAGCAGTAAGAGACAGCGTGATTTTGCTAGTTTGGGATGTCCTAAACTAGAACCGAGCCTGAAAACGCCATACTTCGTCCGAGGGAAATCGAAATAACTGTACATATAAACAGCACGATAAATCATCATCCCTCCAGTAATATCATAGGGACCGACTTGAGTATAAAAACAATTAACCAGCACGGGCAAAAGAAACAGGGACTATGCATCAAAATCAAGATAGAAGTCATTACAAAAAAAGAGACCACCTTCATGAGAGTATTTGTATTTGGTAAGTCTATACGAGGTCCCCTTTTCGATATGGTCCATAAATCATATTTGAATGGTAACTTGTAGTGGTACATTCTCGTTAATTATTGCTTTTAACGTTTTACATTTAGTTATTTTGGTGAAATGGACACAAAGGGACTGGCAACGGACATTTTACAAATAGAGGTTGATATCGATTTGGAAAGATCATTGTGAAACGCAGAGTTGACAAGAATGGAGAGTATAGATTCGATGGTTACGTGAAATGATTGTAAAAGTAGGTTCGTTTCCACTTGCTTTGTCAATATTGTGGATGGATCTTTATTTTTAAACTGACTTGCAGTCATAGAGGGTTGATGATTTATTTGTGGGAGGAATATTTGGAAAGGAGGTTTGTGGAAATCGAATGAAGGTGTTGAAATTCATGGGTGGGCGAAATGAGTTTCAAAATGAACAGGAAAACTTGTTTTAATCGAATGGATGAACCACAGATAGAGCCTAGATAGAATTATTGCAATTTATACGAATAATGATAACACTATGTAAACCACTGTTGAATCCTTGCATATCAGTAAAAAGACAACACGTGCACAACCACTTTCACCTATTCAGCTATTAGATTCATTATCTTTTTTGCACAAACCAGCAAATTATGTATATCCATATTCTTTGGATTCTATTCCTGTTTTTTGTCGAACCATCTCTATCGATTCCTAAAGAGTTTATGCGAAAATAAGCTGTGATTGTCTAGTTATTCCAAGAAGCCAGGTGTTTCGAATTTCCGATTTGCCAAAGATATCAGTGCAAGAAACTATCGCAAGCAAGAAAAGTGTGATGTGGATGTAGTACTGAATTGGAAACAAGAACTCCAATCCAGCTGTCTGTCTACTCCAATCATTTATCCGTTTTTTAAAAGTGGAAGCAAAGATGTATGATTCAAGGGAACCTGTTTTTATGTAGATTGTCGTAAGTACGTTTTGGCAATACGTGGATATCGTCAGTTCGGATGGCCAGATCCCCAAAGGATGGCCCCATATTCTGCAGGACGAGATATTCTACGCCTCCCCCATTATGTACGATATCGACCACAGCGGCACGGAGGACATTGTTCTAGTGAATTCGAACGCGGAAATCCACGTTCTGCACGTATTGCCATTCCATCTCTCTCCTGTAGGTTTCCTCGCAGCAAACGGTTCAATTCCCCGAGATTTTCTCGCTCCCCGACCTCTCCATCCACCGCCAATGGTTCGAGCTCCCTCCGGACCCCTCCAACCCGCACAACTTCTCCTCGCTCGTCCTTCCGCTTCCCTCCGCGCCGCTTCGCCGCGTACCTCCCGCGTGTCTCCCTCAGCCGCAGACGCAGAACGTCTCCAGCCTCGCGGAGGCCACGCAGCAGCGCAAAGCCCGCAAGGCGAAGCTCCACCAGCGCGAAAAACCCGCGTTCATCGCGCTCGACCCCCACGTTCTAGCCAATGCAGGGCGTTTCATCGACGAAGGACGGCTCGTTCTGACGCTCCCCGTGTCCTACTATCTCAGCGAGCGCGATTATCCCGCGGGAATCCCGGGAATCGCTCCGGAAAAGTGGAATTGAGGGGGAATTGGAACGCAGATATCTCGCGTGCGGCGTCTCCGCGGTCGATTTGACCGCCAACGAAGTGCTCTGGGCGGAGGTCTATGTGGGTTTCCCCGGTTTCTACGATTTAGGGAGTGTCGACGATGTACCGACAATCGTTCATCTACAGCACGCCGGTTTCGGTGGATTTGGAGGGAATGGGCGCGATCAGCACGCTCTTCGGAACTTCGCAGGGCGATCTGTTCGAATTCGAAAAGAATTCGATGTAGATTCGCGGTCGATCAGCATGGCAAGCCTCGACGAGGGTTTCCGGTGCGGTTTAATGAAATTCGAATGGGCGTCGTGTGCGCGGACGTGGCCAACGATGCCTATCTGGAGATTGTTCGCATTTTGTGAGATGCCGGTCAACTGCAGATTGTGGGCGATATGTCGGGAATTCTCGCCGTGCTGGACCCGAAGGGCGAGGAAATCTGGTCGGTAACGCTGTCTGGGCCTCTTTCTCAAGTACTCCAAAAATAGTCCCGATTTTTGTCTTAGTCGGTAATGACGGCGGATGTGAGCGGGGACGGGAATCTGGATGTGATCGCGGTGACGGATAATGGCGATATTTGGATTTTGGATGGCCAAACCGGGAAGTCGCTTCCGAATTATCCCATTCGTACGGGGTACCAGTTCCGCTCCACTCCGACGCTAATCGACGTAAGTCCAAGCGGAGATGGTTTGCACATGGTTTTCACCTCGAAGGAAGGAGAAGTGGGGATTGTCAATCTGCGAACGTTCTTTCGTTTTTGGTTTTTTGTAACGAGCAGAGGCTGCGTACGCAGAATCGACGTGGGAGAGGAGCTTCGGACGCGCGTGCTGGCATCGAAGGAAATGGAGAGCGATATGCTGGTAGCGATGAAAGCCGTGGAATGAGGAGCAGGCGCTGATCGTGTCTACGATGAATGGAAACCTGCTGCAGTTCACAACCTCGGGCAAATGGTCGCAGGTCAATCGGTTCAATAACCGCGGGTACAACAGCGACGGGATCTACCCGCCCCATTTCATCACGCTGACGTTTGGAAGCGGGGCGTAAGCGAGAGAAGCGGCGGAATAAGCGAATAGCGAGTTATGGTGGGAGATTATGCAAACCGAGGTGAAGCTGCCGATCACGATCCAGGACAGCCGATTACGGAAGTACGATCCGTTCTATCGAGTTCGGGTGTATAGAAAGGGCGCATTATTGTATGAACAGGTGATGCTTCGCAATGTACGTGATTTGCAGACATTTAAGAAGGACGGAAGCTATATTTTGGAATTCGAGTTGCTCGAAACCGGATACTACAACATCCAAGTGGTGTTGGAGAATGAGCACAAGCAGATCGTGGAGCGCGTCATTCCGATCCATGCGAACGTGGAGGCGTTGAATTACGTGAAGTGGTTCGTGCTGATTCCCTTTTTGCTGATTTCCACGATCCTTATGCTCTCTTCGAGTTTTGGAACTCCGTTGCCTTTGTAGTTGCTTTCCTATCATTTTGGCGTGTTTGTTCGCACAGAGTTAATCGGAATTTGGAGAAAATGCTCTTTACGATTTGCTGTGTTTTTCTTCATAGATTCGTAGTATCATAATCATTCACAAACCTAGATGTAAGTAGCGTGTGTTTTTCTGTGCGTTCCCCTATTCACCGTTCAGATTATGGAGTCCATTTTTGAAGAATGGGATGGTCACTCTGGGACTGGAAACATGTCTGCCAGAATGAGTAACGGAGACCCAATGAGCTTCTCCATGGGAGATTCTGTGGATGGAGCTGGTTTTGGGCTTAATCAAGTGAGTGGCAGGATATTGTGGATATGCCCTAGGGCGCATTCGACAATACTGCATCGGATCCAAATGCGATGTTTTCTATTAAGCGAGTCCCCATTCCTCCGACTCGCAAGAATTCCAAGGGGAAAGTCCCCGAGCCGCTGACTATACATGCTGTTCTGATTGTAATTCGATTTTGAGCGATAGATATCGGAAGCTGGGAATGTGATCATACTGGCTTCCACCGGGAAGGTGCTGGTGCGTTGGAACATCAAGGAGCTTCCGGAAGGTAGCTGTTCTGCTCGGGCGGAACTCACACGCAGACATCGAGCTTCCCTTCAAGGAGGACAAAATGCACAAAGTGTTTATCGACTTCACGGGGAACCACGTGATCATCACCACGGTCGCCGGCGACTGCTACTACCTGCATTCGTCGAAGTCGAAGGTGGTGAACCTGAAGCGCTTTTCGGACTACCACATCGAATCCGTCGCGTGGAACCGCGTCGAGGGCACAGAATCCAGCACGGGCGTGCGTTTCGGATGCATGATGCTGACGGCTAGCCGATCCTTCTTGGCACGCGAAACGGGATGATTCTGGAGAGCTGCATCGAGGGCAAGGAGAAATACGTGAAAGAAGTCTTCTCCATGCAGCAGAACATGCCCATCTGCAGCCTCCAATTCGAGCGGTTCCCCGCGGTTCCCACCTCCCCCGCCAAATTCTTCGTGATGGCGGCCACGGCGAACCCGTGCCGCTACTTCCAGTTCATCGGCGGCCCCGACTTCGCGTCTCTGTTCGCCTACTACCAAGAACTGGACCGGCAAAACTGCACGGAATTGCCCGGCGATCTCAACTACACCGAGCTTCGCTTCTTCACCAAGCCCGGCGAGCCGCGCGCTTCCCGCTTCGCGCTCCTCACCGGCTTCGCCACCTACTACGGCTCGCTCTACTTCGGCTCGCAAACCGCGGGGGAGCAGCTCACCGCGGACACGCGGGACACGCACCACGCCGTGGCGCCGCTCAGCATCGCGCTCACCGAGTTCCACCTCCTCTCGCTATTCCCGCGGAAGCTCACCGTGCGGAACATCCTCAGCGACTCCGTCGTCTACGAGCGCGAAAGCGCGGTCGAGCTGCGCGGCATGTGCCCCGACCCGCTCACCGGCTTCGTCTGGGTCTTCTCCGACCGCGAGCTCTTCGTGGTGGGTTCCGCGGGGATCTGGGGAGTAGATCGAGCCGCACGACGAGGACCGCGACGCGTGGAAGCTCTTCCTGCAGAGCGCGCGCGACGGCGAGCCCGGCGACTTCGAGAAGGCGCTGGGGCTTTGCAAGGACGACTGTGCGCGCGAGGAGGTGCGGCGCGCGCAGGCCGACTTCTACTTCCGCAAACGCGACTTCGCGCGCGCCGCCGAGTCGGGCGTTGGATGAAGAGAGATGAAGCGTAGGCTGTACGCGGCGACGCAGCTGTCGCTGGAGGAGATCGCGCTGCAGTTCCTCGACGCGGGCGAGCGCGGCGCGCTGAAGGTGTATCTGCTGCGGAAGCTGGACCAGCTCCCCGCGGGGCGGCGCGCGCAGCGCATGCTGCTGTGTACGTGGCTGACGGAGATCTACCTGGACGAGATCAGCGGGATGAGCGTAGGCGAGGGGCGGGGCGTGGAGCGAAGATCGCGACGGAGGCGGAGGAGGAGGCGAAGCAGAGTCTGCTGGTGGAGTTCCGGCGGTTCCTGACGGAGCGAGGCGGAAATCTGGACGTGAACACGACGTACGCGCTGCTGTCGTCGCACGGCTGCGTGGAGGAACTGCTCTTCTTCGCGCGGCTCATCGAGGACTACGATCGGGTGCTGACGCATCACATCCAGCGCGAGGACATCGCCTCCGCGATCTTTATCCTCCAGGAAGTCCCCGTGGAGAAGGCCGAGCCGCTCTACTACAAGTTCGCTCCGCAGATGCTCCTCGCGGCGCCCAGAGAGACCGTCGACGCGTGGATGGCCGCGCCCTTCCTCGCGCCCTGCAAGCTCATCCCCGCGCTGGTGCGGTACGATCAGCAGCGCGGAGAGATGGCGAAGAACGGCGCCGAGGCGCTGGGGGAGGTGGAGAAACGTGGAAACGGTGAGGCGTAGAACGAAGCGATTCGGTACTTGGAGTATCAAGTGAAGGAGATTCAGAACACGGATCCGGCGATCCATAATTATCTCTTATCACTGTACGCGGTGGAGGTGGGCAAAGAAAGGAGAGATGAAGAGTAGGAGGACACGAGCGATCTGATGGCGTTCCTGGACTACTTCAAGGAGGATTATATCTACGACGTGAAGTACGCGCTGCGCGTGTGCATCCAGGAGGGCAAGCACGAGGCCTGCGTGTACATCTACAGCCTGCTGCACCTCTACGAGGAAGCGGTGAAGCTCGCGCTGCGCGTCAACCTCGATCTGGCCAAGGACGCGGCCACCAAGGCCGAGGAGAGCGTGCAGAAGAAGCTCTGGCTGATTATTGCGCGGTATTTGATCGAGGTAGCGGTAGGGGAAGCGAAGTGACGCGTAGAAATGCGGGGATATCGAGGGCGCCATCGCGCTGCTGGAGGAGTGTCCGCTGCTGAAAATCGACGACTTGCTGCCGTGGTTCCCCGACTTCGTGATCATCGACCAGTTCAAAGACCGCATCGTGGAGTCGCTGGAGACGTACAACAACCAAATCGACGAGCTGAAGGGGGAGATGGAGGCCTACACGTCCTCCGCGGAGAAGATCCGCGAGGAGATCCAGGGATTGAAGAGTCGCCACGGCGAGATCGAGGGCGACCAGGTCTGCGAGCTCTGCGACCAGGCGATTCTCTCGCGCGTGTTCTATCTGTTCCCCTGCTCGCACGCGTTCCACGCGGACTGTCTGCTTCGCGAAGTGGGAGTGGCGCCGGGGATCGAGCGTAGATGAACAAACATCTCTCCGCCGCGGAGAAGGCGAAGATCAAGGAGCTGCAGGAGAAGCTGCGCCCGCTGAGCCAGAGCGGGCTGTCGCAGAACGACCAGGAACTGCGCGACAAGCTGCAGGCGGAGCTGGATAACATCATAGCGGCGGAGTGTCCGCTGTGCGGGTCGGTGATGATCCAGTCGATTAATAAGCCGTTTATCTCGAAGGAGGAAGAGGCGGAGGCGTCGTTGTGGAGTATTTAAATGAATGAATGAATGAATGAATGAATGTGATTGTTGTAAACAGGTTTTAAGGGGAAGAGAACAGAGCGATCGCAGAGAAAACGGTCGATAGGATCATGAATACAAAGAAAAGGAGCATCGCGATGAACTCGAATTGCTTCTTCCCTGCGCTCATCGTCTTGTGGAAGCACACCAAGTGCAGCAAGGGCGGAATCACCATCGAAATCGTCGTGAACAAGCAGCCTCCGAGTGAGGTTAAGTACAGCCAACGGCCAGGGAAAGTGAGTGAATGAATGAATGAATCGAATGGGCGATGAATCAAGTCAATGCACAATTCACGATAAATCAAGTCAATTCACAATTCACAATGAATCAAAATCCATTCACTCATCCATCCACCCATTCATTCACTCACTCCATTCATTCCATTTCATTTCATTCATTCATTTCAGGATATCCAGCGACACAATATCTCCAAACCGAGGGAACAAATACGCGATCGCCGAGATCACCACCGTCTGCGCGATCCGCAGCCCCAGCCGCTTCGGATCCGACACGAAGATCCACACCGAGCGCGGCTCGCGAATCGACGCCTCCAGCACTTCATTCAGCGGCGGCGTGTAGATCGGGTACGTGAACAAGCAGCTCAGGAACATCATGATGTTCACGATCACAGCGGGAACCGACTTCGCGGGGATCATCAGCAGAATGTTCTGCTGGATGCCGCCCTCCACGCCGCTGTACGCGAACAGCGCCAGCATCGGACACAGCACCATGATGAACGTCGTGATCCCGATCGTCCAGCCCGTGCTTCGCGGCGCTTTGGGCTTCGAGGAAGGCGCGAGCTGCTTCTAGAGCGTGAAAGACGAGCCGGAAAGCGACGTAGAAGGAGAGGAAGGAGAAGTTGTAGCCGAGCGAAAAGGAAGGAACGCCGACGGAGGAGAAGAGAAGCGGGACGGAGGCGGGAGCCAGCATGGAAAGAGAGAAGGTGATCCCGTATTGGACGAAGCCGTAGACGAGGAGGATGGCGAAGGAGAGGACCAGAGCGAAGATGCTGAGCGACGCGACGGCGATGATTGGATTCATGTCGCTCAGAAGAACCAGCAGCAGACACACAAACGAGGACAGCAAGTGGAAAAAGATGCGCTTGTTGCTGGCGTCGGCGAAGAGGGCGCCCGGCCATTCGATCTTGCAGATGAAATCGACGATGGAGATCTATGGGTGAAACAGTAACTCCATGAAGAACCAATGTGCCGATTTGGACGCCCCAGATCGCTAGCAGATAAAGAACGATGAAAGAATAATAGCCGACGGGACCAAGAATCTACAAAAAATCACTGAAAGAAGCGAAATGAATACATGATACATTACAAAGGCGTAATCATTTCCGATCATCTTGGGAGGATAGTTCGATCGCTACAAACTCAACCAGCGGGAGCAATGCATACGTTGTTTGCAGTGTAGGAATGAACACTAATTAAAAGAGTGGAACACCACACGTTTGCGACTGCCAAAACAGCATAGACAATGACTGTACAAATAAGACCCATCTACACAAAACAATAAACGAGAAACAGCTTACTCGATTAAAAGCATAGGGGGAACAAAGAATACCCGCGCCCGTGATACTTTTAATCAAGGTAACATTGAACTAAAAGGAATCATCTCCAAATGCCAGTACCTGCTTAATCGAAATGTAGCTCGAAGACGTGATAGTAGGGACATTTTCTTCTGGTTTCTTCGTAATATCAACCACTTCCTTCTTCTCCACGGCAAGCTCGTTGTTAGCAACTTTCTTCTCGATTTCAAAACTCTCGACACGCTGAATAGGGGACGTGTCCTGTTTAGGTGCGGTCTCCATCTCAATTTTAAAGAAATCATCAAACGAGGAATCTCCAGCCAATCATCTTTCGACACACTTTTTGTAACAAACAATTCCTCCTTCTATTTCATCATCTTGATAATTAGCTGATAGGCGGAGAAGAACGTCGAAATGCACATGAAGACAAAGCAAAAGACGATAACGAGCACATGGAGAACAATCGCCTTCGTCGAGAGGGAGTCGTGGAAGCACAACAGATTCAACACAGGCGGAATTACCGACGAAATGGCCGTAAAAACAAAGCCTCCCAGTGATGTCAAGGATCCCTCCATCTCATTTCATCTAGTCTCATCTCATCCAAGGATATCGAAGAAAATAATATCACCAAAGAACGGACAGAACCAGGCGATCATCGAGATCATCGCCGTCTGCAGAAGCCGGTAGATGAGTCGTCTGGAATCAGCAACGAACAGTCCCGCGGTTTTCTTGTTCCGAATTGTTTCCTCCAGAATCTCGTTCAGCGGCGGAGAGTAGATGGGATAGGTGAATAGACAGCTCACGAACATCATAAGGGACACGACAATCGCAGCAGGGTTCGTGGAGGGAATGGAGAGCAAAATGTCGGACAAAATGCCGCCTGGAATTGAAATAGAATGACTATACTGCGTACTCGGCGAGTTCGAATAGGAAAAGAACGCCAGAAGCGGGAGAATGAGGAGACAGGAAGTAATGACGGTTAGGATGGGTGTGAGCGCGCGTTTGGCTTTGAACTTGAGCGAGGGCTTCACTTGTTTCTATATTTCAGAAGAATGCGCGAGGCTACGTAGAATGAGAGGAACGAGAAGTTGTATCCGAGCGAGAAGGAGGCAGCGCCAATGGAGGCGCAGAGATCGACGAGGGAGAGCGGTTTGAGCATGGAGAGGTTGAATGTCATTCCGTAGTTTACAAATCCGAAGACGAGGAGAATAAGAAACGAGAGAAGCAGAGCGAAGATGCTGAGGGACGAAACCGGGACGAGCGGCCTGATCATGATGTCGATGCTGTGCATGCTACTTCATGTCTTTGAGGAGAACGAGAACGGCGCAGATGCAGGAGCAGGAAACATGACAGATGAGCTTGACGGAGGGATTCTGGTCGACGAGGGCTTTGATCCAAGGCAGATTATCGAGGAAGTCGACGATGGTGATCTACCAGAGAGGAGAAATGGAGAAACGTAGATACCAAGGTGCCGACTTGGACTCCCCAGATCGCGATGAAGTAGAGAAACAGAAAGATTAGATAGCCGTTCGGACCGGTGATCTAGATGAGGGGATGAGGGGAGGGGAGAGGAGAGTACATGATAGATAATCACGGCGTAGTCGTTTCCGATTTGCTTGTAGGGATATGAAGACGGCTAGGTGAGATGGAGAGACGATAGACTCACATTGGTTTTGCAATACTCAGAAACATTTATTAGCAACGTCGAACACCACACATTGATGACAGCCATAATCACATAAAAGAACACAGTGGCGGGAATGCCCATCTAACGAATGATAATCACCAGGAGAAGAAACTCTCAAAATCGAGTACGGGATAGATAGAACACCAGGCCCTGTGATGTTTTTCGTCAACGTAATGGTGAACTACGCATAGCTCCCAATACAATTGTGTACCTGCTTCAATGTCAAATAGCGGCTATCATACTCTGCAACAGACGGCTTTGCACTTTGCACGACCACAGATTCCTTGTTATCGTCCACAGATTCATTATCAGAGAACAGAGGTTTTTCAATCTCAAAACTGTCCACTCGCTTGACACCCAGTTTTTCCAAAGTTTCATCATTGTTGATGTGCGTGCTACTCATGTTGGATCTTTCTTTATGTTGTGAATGGCCAATAATCGGAGTTCCAGATTTCCTATTTCTGGATTGTACAAAAATAGATTATGCGCTTTCGTACGGATCTGCCAGGCAGCCTGGATTGCAACGACCCGAAAAGCACAGAACGTACGTGGAATGAAGAATGGAAAGAATGTGTGGTGAGCAACAAACAACGGACTATTTTCATTCTATTATACGCATTCAAGTCCTAAATAAACAGTTTACTCAAAATCGTCGAGGCTACAATGTTAAATATAAAAAACGATTCCAGCAACATACTCAAAGTCAGAATAATCTTCATCCGACGAACAGCAACTGGAACAACAGCTTGAAGTCTCCTTCGGTTCGGGGATAGGTTCGTTCCACGCCTGCAGACACATCGCACAGATATGATTTGCCTAGAATGGGAGGAGGCAAAGGAGAGCTACGCGAGCACACTCGTCGCAGATCTGATGGTACGCTGCCTTCACATTCCGGTTTCCGCACTTGACGCACTTCCCAGGAGCGGTTAACGGCTTATACTTCCTGTATTTCTTCTTCCACTCGATTTTCTTCCTACACCTCTCACAAACGACTATGCTTAAGACAGCCACTCGTAGCAACGATAAATAGGCATGGCAGCGATCTTTTCGGTCTTTTTGGAGTTCTTATTGTGTCGGAAGGAAAACTTGTTTTGATGAGCAGGTGTCCGACTGGTAACACCTCCTCGTCGCGTACTCATTCGTTAAACGAAGAAAAGGAACAAGTAAATAGAATTGTGTCACGACCCAAGGTTCAAACCTATGCAATCTATGGGCAAAAGAGTCCGACTGGATAATGAGAGTGTTATCAAAGGACGATCCTTTCGGAATTCCATGTGTGTCGACAAATGGTTATTGCATTTCGGCAAGACATAAGAACCACGATAGATAGGGTGGATAATTATGTACATGCATAAATCCGCAAATTATCCAATTAATCCATCATTTACATCGTGGAAAATGAATTATATGGAACAGGTATAATTGATCAATCTAGATTCTGCCGTGCAATCTGTTGTAGAGACATAATATCTTTTGTGAATGAACGTATCAACTGCTGAGAAGGCTGTGAAGGCTTTTCGTACTATTCTTATATATTTGAAGTAATGGTTTAGTTCCTAACCCCGGTTTTTTGATGAAGAAGATTCCCACTTGGAAACTCACTGTGAAGGAGTGGAACGCCGAGGAGTTCAAGACGCAGGTGGCCAATCTGTTTGATGAGCTGAACGAGGTAGGAGGTTGTCTGTGTGGTGTAATGTGTTATAGCAATACGGATGGCTCCAGGAGAAGTTGGAGTTTGCTGAGGAGCAGGCTTACCTTGCCTACAAGAAGAACGACAAGGATAAGATGAGAGACAAAGTTTCCGAGATGATGGTTTTCGAGAAGAAGATTGCTCTGGTGGAGAAGATCTCTCCCATGGTGGAGAACGTTCAGTCCCAGGCCAAGACTCTGCGCAAGGAGAAGAAGTGCCCCGAGGAGTTGGAGAAGGATGTCGCTGTTGTTATCTATCTCGCTGACGTGTTCAGCATTCCCTCTTTCCTCCGTGTGAAGCACCAGTTCACCTTCAAGTATGGTGAGAAATATATCGAGAAGATCTGCGGCAAGAAGCACACGAACGTGGATGAGGAGATCATTGCCATGGTGGAGTACAAGCCCGAGTCCAAGGCCGTGAAGGAGCGCGCCAAGCAGGTGACGGAGGATTGCAAGAAGCGCGAGAAGGAGGAGGAGAAGGCCAAGAAGGAGGCCGAGAAGGCCAAGAAGTCCGGAAAGTCGGGCAAGTCCAAGAAGCATCATCATAAGAAGGAGTCGTCTTCGGATGATTCCGATTCTGATTCCGATTCTGATTCTTCGGAGGATGAGAAGCCTAAGAAAAAGTCCAAGAAGTCCAAGAAGGAGTCGTCCTCGGATGAGTCTTCTTCGGAGGAGGAGAAGCCCAAGAAGAAGTCCAAGAAGTCCAAGAAGGAGTCGTCCTCGGAATCGGAGTCCTCGGAGGAGGAGAAGCCCAAGAAGAAGGAGAAGAAGGCCAAGAAGGCCGTTTCTTCGGACTCTGAGTCTTCGGAGGAGGAGGAGAAGCCCAAGGAGAAGAAAGAGGAGGAGCCTAAAGAGGAGCCTAAGGAGGAAGCCAAGGAGGAACCTGCTGCGAGTGCGTAAATGTTGCAGATAGCCCTGATTGTTGCGCTGTTTGAGCAAACAAACAATCGAAAAGTGAATTGTTGTTAGGGGTAATGTCTCTTCTCTTCTTAATTGTCCTGTCTATACAGCGTGCCGTAGGGGAGGAACTCGGCGGCGTGCTTCTCGCTCAACTCGGTGCAGTCGCGGGAGTACTGCAAGTTCTCCTCCTTCTCGTGCTCACCCACCTTGCGCACGTACTTCGCGGGGTTTCCGGCCCAGTACTACACTCGTAAAATTCAGCCAGACGCCTACCTCGCCGCTGGGAATGTGCTTTCCCTGCTCCACGACCGAACCAGGAGCGAGGCAAGAATTAGCCTCCAGATGCGCTCCCTCCAAGATGCGGCAGCCAGCTCCAATTCTGCAGTTATCATCAATACGGCAGCCGCTCAGCACGGATCCATAACCGACAACCACGTTGTTTCCGATGGACACAGAACCAGGCAAACCAGTGCTAGAAGCGCTGACACCGGACACAACCGTTCTGTCTTGGATGTGGCTCTCCGTTCCAATCCGCACATAGTTGCTGTCGCCTCTCACGACCGAACCATACCAAACAGCCGATCCTGTGGAAATCTCGACATCTCCAATGACAGAAGCGTTCGTGGCAACAAAAGCAGTGGGGTCAATCACAGGAGATTTAGACTTCATCGGTAAAACCGTTCTGTGAAGAGAGTCTACGTCCTAGTTGCACAAGACTAATGCATACACATTTCTGTGAACTTGTTTGCATTGTCAGCCTTAGCAGCACAACGCTCGATGACCTCTTCAGACTGACGCAAAACTCTGCAGGTCTACGCATTATCCTATTTGAACCCAATCATTACAGCTCTCAGTGCGTTACGAAACATTCAGGAAATTACTACTAAAATAGAGAAAGATAGAAATCGCCATATTCCTAGATATATATACCCTAAATGGAGGGAGATTTCACAATATTCTCGTCAAATCGGGACATTTTGAAATATTAATGAAATCTTAACTCACCAATCGAACGAGAACGATTTCTGCGCAAATCTGCTGAATGCAAGGATGGTTCGATCGAATGACGCATGATTCCGGAAAATGAATCTTTGTTCTGTTTTGAGATGACGCAGAATACACTGTTAACTCGAGCCAAATCGAAGCGGAACGCTTCCTTTCAACAAACATTTCATTTATTTATGACTTGAAAAACTACTGCGATTTCTCTGCTTCAACTCCTTCTCTAATTCTTTGATTCTCAACTGTGCCCGGTTCAATTCGCTCTTCGTTTTCTCCAACTCGGCACTCAGGCGAATGTTCTCTCGACACAATCTGTCTCGAATGTGCTCGAGCGAGTCATTGCTTCGACCGGTTGCAGGCAATTTCGTTCTGGGAACCTCCTTCCGTGTTACTGGAACCGACGACCGTGGAGTTGTGGAAGGAGGCATAGACAATCGTGGAGGGAGGGAAGGGGCCGTTGTCCGGCTGGAACTAGAATGAGACAGGCGTAATACGAAAAACACGACTGAAGCAGACTTTCTAGGAAGTGCTGGTTTTGAATCGCGAACTCGGACAATCTCTTTGCAATCCGATGAAACCCTGGTGACGGGAGCAGATACGCGTTGCAAAAGAGCTCGTCCTTTTGCTTCGGACTCTCTACACAGAAGGAAGGACCAGTGCGTCACGGTTTAATATGTTTGTTTTGTAAAATATCGAAGAAGCACATGCGTGGACTGTACCGTGACTCGCGAAGTGAGCCATCGAGGCCTGGAGAAGAGGAATCCATTTCATTCTTTTCCTAATGTGAACATCCACTCAAGGATCAACTTCAATTGTGTCTAAACGGTCCAGTGTATCAAAGAGGGACGATCTCTTCTACGGACATTAAATCGAAAACTAAAATACCCTCGGATATCCTAGCGGCGGGAAGTTTGTAGGGAGTGTGTTTTCACGCATCATTGCACTCCCTTGCATGTTCTTGGCGTCTTCCTGTTGAAAATACTCTTCCATCTTTGAATCAGTCACTAGACATATTAAAAGTACCGTCATGCCGCAAGAATCGGGAGACTACACATCACTCTCGCTTTACACCCCTACTCCTTCCATTTCCTCTTCTGCAGGTGATTTCATTACCGAGTATCCATTAGACATACGGTACCGAAATTTGTTTGACAAAAATCAAATATTGGCTTTATTTGTGTCAAGAGGAATTGTTTATTTATCGAAGGAGTGTGGATTCACAATTTCTCTACACAATGTGCGTTACTAGAGCTTTGGCGACAGCCTTTTCTGAAGCAAAGCAACCTGCCTTCTGACCTCACGTGCTTCCCTCAATTTTCGCTCATACAGGAGCCTATTTTTTTGTGTGTGCTTGCTTCGTTCTGAGGTTTTCGAAGTGCGATACAGGAGAGGAATTTGAATTGTAATAAATAAGTACGAAAAATGTGACCATTTGTCATTTATCATATCATTTTATATCCAGAAGCAGCTTATTTCGGCTGATACATAAATATGTACATCTTGCAACTGTCTGTTCATTGTAGGGAGGACAACGTTGATTACAACGAGCTTCATCACTATGATCAAGTCACACTTTTGTTAAATGAAGTGAAACAGCGCATTACCTACGGTTCTACGATTCCAAATTTGTGTCGCTGTCGTAGACGACCCATGGTGTTGTTTGACAAGCATAATGCCGAGTTGAACTTTGAGTCGTTTGCGAGTTTGAATGTACTTTATGAACTTTGGAAAGATTCTGCTATATTTGAGTGAATGAATGAGTGAGTCTGTTTCTTCTAATAACCATTCCTGGAAAGCTGAACAGGAGTCGGGTTGGTGTAGTGGCTATCACGCTCGCTTCACACGCGAGAGGTCGCGAGTTCGAACCTCGCATCCGATATTTTTCCATTTCTTTTTTTTTAATCAGTGATCATTGTTGATAGGATTATATTCGAAATTACCATTACTATTATTACCACCACCACCACCACCATTCGAGCTGTTACTATTAACAGTGATGATGCACTTTACACTCATCACTCACCAACTAGGAACCACTTCAAAAGCATTCTCCCTCATTCACGGATTACTCCCCTCTCTTGATTCAACAAACACACAAAATAGCGGCAATTTGTTTTATAACAGATTCTAGACCCTGTATATTCACCTTTAAAGCAACAATACCATTATCATAATGGCTCAAAATATCCTTGTATGTGTAAACTGCTTCAGCTAAATTCGCCATAATCAGATATCGGCTCTCAAAGTGTTGGTACCGCTTCACTGTGTCATACGTCTTCTTCACCGTACTCTCAATCGCCTTAATCAAGCACTGGTACTCCTTCATGCCATTCAAGCATTTGTCCATCTCGTTGTTGCAACGCGAATACACCATCACGAACTGGCCCTCCGCATTGCCATGGCCTCCGGAACGGAAGAACTGCGTGATGAGCATGTTCTGATCGTCGAGCATCGCATGAATGCGCTGATCCATCAACTCGCACTTGTTCAAAAACAAGGTCAAATTCTTCTTCGCGTTGATCACCTGGTTCAGCAAGGCCTCCGCTCGATCGTTCAGCTCCACCGTCTCCTGCAAGCTCTGCTGCAGCTGCTGGTAATTTCCAGAGCGGGAAAGACTGAACCGATCGCTCACCAGGAGGCGAATCTTATCCTCGTTGGCCTTCTCCCCGGCCTTCCGCGTCCGCTTGATGTTCTTCATCGACGCGATGTACGGCGGCACCTGCGTCTTCAGCGAGCGCATCATCTCCGAGGAGCATCTACCGCTGACTCGCGCTCGGCAGCGCCTACGATCGCTCTCCGCTGTTCACTTGGCGGATGAAATCCATGTACGAGAACTCGAGCTGGTTCAGCAGATCGTCCATTCGCTTCGCGTGCTCGATGAATTGTTCGCGCCGCATCGACAGCGTGTGCGTTTTCTCCTTCGCGTGCTGGCTGCTCAGCAAGATCCGGAAGAACGACGGCACGCCGGACTTCTGCGACAGCGCGCCAATCTATCGTGGAAACTGGGGAACGGAGGTACCAGAACGTCGCATCTGCTCTCCCGCAGCGCAGCCTCGATCGCCGTGACGTTCTTTCTGTACTTGGCCTCGTACTCGCGCACTTTCGGCTCGCAGAACTCCTTGTACTTCTGCTGGAAGCTGCTCAGCCGCGCTTTCTTCGAGGCCGAGAGAATCGCGGAGAAGTCGAACGCGTCCGCGGCCTCCACGTCGATCTTGCAGTCGTTCGGATTCAGCAAGATCCGCTCTTCGATCGTGTACTCGCTGATCCCGTTCGGAATCGTGCTCATCTACGCTGAATCGTCCTTCTCTCGCCTACGCGAATCATCCATTCCCCGACGATGCGCCGCTTCGTTTCCGCCGCTTCCGACGTGAATTCGGTCATCATCGGAAGCACCAGCTTGCGGATCAGCGCCGACTGCATCTTCTTCAACGCGTCGATCGTGTTCTATCCATCACGCAACGCCGCCAACGCTACGAAGAAGCAGTCCAGACAGTAGTACGCCGTGCCCGTTCCGTGCACGTTCGGGTTGTCCAGCTCTTCCTGCGTCATGTAGCCTTGATAATACAGCGCCATCGCGTAGGTGAGCTTGTGCATCGCCGTGCAAATCTCCACGAGGGACTCGGGGTTCGACGATTTCTTAAAGTTCGCTAAGGCGTCCTTGTACAGAGAGCTGCTTCCCATGTACAGACACACGAACATCTGCTTCTGAGAGACCTTGTAGACGATCTGCGCCTTGCGGCCTTTGAGGAATTGATAGAGAGCGGAGAGGTAGAATTCCGCCTGGGATTAAAACGGAAAAGGAAGGAGCGTACGCCGGTGAGAAAGGTCTCGGTTAGCTCGGGGACGGGCTGACTTTCGCTGTATGTGTAGAGCATCGTTCTGCAGATCGTGACGATGTAGCTATAGGCGTTCTTTAAGTTTTCACACGCTTTATCGATTTGAGTTATATCTGGGTTGACCTAGGTGAAAACGGGAATGCAAAAATACAGGGAGATCTTTGAGGGCTTTTTGGGAGTAGAGAGCGGCGATGTTGTACATGACGCAAGTCTGTTCGTACTGAAAATTGGCCGTCTTCTCCTCCATGCTCGGGCTGACGGAGGATTTCCATCGCAGAAAGGCAGTGGACTACAATGAAATTAACAAAAAGTAACAACGTCATTCCCAGGCTGGGGGAAGTTCTTATTGATTGCAACCAAGTCTTTTAGGTATAAAAGATAGGCATCAATGTCGTCTTCCTTTGTGTAATGCTTAATGTTAACGATGGTAGCTCTATGCGCCTCGATATTCACAAGGTTTTGTGTGATTTGAGATCTTACCTCCTAGAAACTGAGTTGGTGATTCATCTGACATACCTGTGGTACAGAGCCAGTTACATAAACTAAGAGTTGTCTTTTAAACTTGGTAGCCGCGGTAGTCAAACATCCCAGTGCGAGCATATTTAACAAAATAATAGTGACAGAAATCAAGTAAGAAAACAAGCAAGTTTATCAGTTTATCAAAAAACAAGAAAAAGACTCTCCAAAATACTGATTGCCTCGTTCGATACTTCTTCCCGAGTGCGGTCCGCATTGATTCTGCACGTTTATACCCTTCCAAGCCACTACCTCTTCACCATTCCTTTCTTGTCAAACAGCTCCAGAACCGGCATGCTCGTCTCCATATGCGTCTTAAAACGCTTCACCAGCGACTCCGGGTTATCGTCAACGCGGCCCGACGTCTTTCCACGAAGCAAACAACGCTCCCGCATTACTTCTTCGCTGCACTCCAGAAGCATCACGCATTTCAGCTAGCTAGCAAGCAACAAGAGAAGCGTACGTCCACCTTATCTCCCACGAGCTTCTCCCAGCCTTCCAGATTCTCCATGCTGCGAGGGAAGCCGTCGATAATGATCTTCTTCTGTCCTTGCTCAGCGTAGAACTGTGATTGATGCATGGAAAACTACGATACGCGGATCTTCTTCAAGAGAAGGTTGATGGTAATCTCACCGGGAACGATGAGACCCTTCTTGATGTAGTCGTTAATCAGCTCGGCGTCCTTGCTTCCGCTGAAGGATGAATATCCTCCATGAACCCATACCTGGCCTTTTCCTCACGGAGACAGTCTCCGGCACTGATGGGAATCCAACCGAGCTTCTCCTTCAGAGTTGCAGACACGGTTCCCTTTCCTTGGATGGAAGTACGCTTCCTCACACATACCTGAACCTGGTCCTCCCAGAAGGAAAACAACCTGAGGCTTCTCCTCGTTCACCTCCTTGGGCTCTTCCTTAGTCTCTTCCTTGGGCTCTTCCTTAGTCTCTTCCTTGCATTCCTCCTTGCTCTTCTTCACTTCAACATCTAGTCTATGACAATCCACTCGAACGCGATACATCGCTTGTGGAGATAATAGCCAAGTGCCAAAGTGGAGATACCAAGAGCGGTGGCCAAAACATACCTGGAATTGACTCTCTGCGAGTGCTCCTACTTCTTATTGTAAGGGCAGGACATTGTAAGAATCAAGAAAAAAACAATGGTTAAACTGTGCGATGAAATATGGTGTGGATAGGTGCTGTCCCTGAAGTAGACGATTCAAACACGTCGTCTTTCTCCCTATCCTCGAATTCCCAAAATCGTCTCGATTTTTGCATCTCGTCGTTTTCTTGTTTTTTACACAGATATTTCCCCTATTGTTGACATCTCTATATATATATTCAGCATGGTAGATGGAGCTTACTGCGAATTATCATCTAGTCGGGAGCCAAAACGGGAAAGATGTTAAACTACGTGAATTATCGTATGCGCGTAGTGATAAGAGAAAAGTGGGAGGCCTTTGAGGTTTAGGTAATATTGTAGCCGTGTTCTAGTCGGTACTCTTATGGCTTTTGATAAACACATGAACTTGATCCTTGGCGATTGCGAGGAGTTCAGAAAGATTAGATCAAAGTCGGGAGTGGCTGTCGTCAATGGTACGGTTCTAGGGGGTGACTTAGTTGAAAGGTGTGATTGAAGAACGCGAGGAAAAGAACACACTCGGACTTGTACTGCTCCGTGGAGAAAACATCGTTTCGCTGCAAATCGAGGGTCCTCCCCCACAAGATGTCTTTTTTAAATTCCCTCGGTGATCTGTAGCTTCCTACGCAAATCGCTGCTGCAGGCCCTGGAACCGTGCGTGTTGCGGGCAGAGGCATGCCGGCCGCTCCGCTGACCGCTGCGCCACAAGGTCTCGCGGGTCCTGTGCGTGGTTTGGGCGGTCCCAGCGCTTCGATTATGTCTGGTCAGGGTACGTAGCGTCGATTTCTGTTGAGACTAGTGATCGCCAGCGCGCCAGCGACCAATGCTCGACCCGCCATGCCGATGGGCGTACCTGCCGGAATGCCGATGGGCGTGCCTGCCGGAATGCCTGCGGGAATGCCTGCGGGAATGCCTGCGGGAATGCCTGGAGCGATGCCGATGGGTATGCCAATGGGTATGCCGATGGGTATGCCGATGGGAATGCCGATGGGAATGCCTCGACCTGGAATGATGCCTCCGGGAATGGCAAAGATGGGTGTGCCTCCAAGACCAGGAACGATTCCTGGTACTCCAAGACCGATGTCGCAGTAATTTGTTTATCGTTTTGGCTGTTTCTTTGAAACTCTTCGTAACACGCTATATCCGTTTTCGTGTCATTATCACTTTTCTTTCTGTACATGTCTGTTAAGTGCGATCATATTGACGGTGCCGTTGTTTGGGAAAGTGTAATGGCCAAACGCGGACATCTCACCCATCTGTGGTTTAAAAGGTAATTATTAGGTAAGTCATCTCCTGTAGATGGGTGGCATTAGACGAAGGGGGCAGAATCTACTCTTACAAACCCTCTTCGCAAGGAACTCAACGCAAACATCTGAAATTACTTTATAAAGTTGAACCAACCACGAAAATAAACTATTCGATCGAGTGATTCACAGATTCTAAAGTGAACTTTAGAACATGTATCCTCGAGTTAAAAACGAACGATGACAGGGTGTTTCAATTAAAGGCCAAAGACCCATTATTGCTCCAAAATTGGGCGCAGCGCATTCAACGTTTTTTGGCGAGTTCTAGGAGCAAGTCTGGAGAGTATGGATTCTTTGTGTTGTGGGTGCGTTATATGCAGGGTACGAAAGCGGATGGACCTATTTGTGGATACGGACAAGGTCAATGCGGAAGTAGCACCTCCAATCGTTCGTCGCAGATCGACACAGGAAGCTGTTCGTCCTACACCCGTTGGGAAGCGAGATATTGACATCTCAGCTACAAGTCTTCGGCAAAAGTGCGTTCCCGACGATAATTAGCTTTTATATAGAGTTATGAACAAGCAGGGAAAGGACTATTCGAGTCAAAACGCGTCCTCCATCCAGAAGGACTACATTTCGACCAACAGTACGCGCGAAGCCATTTTGGAATCTCGGAAACAAGCGCTGTCTGTGACGAATGCCGAGGATGCGGAGGCTCTTAAGTCGAGTTCCTATCGATTTATCCATAGAATCGGCTCTCACGCCTCCACCAGCAAAAGCTTCTCCTCCCCTTCCTTCTCCTTCCTTCACTCGCAAACTGCTGACGGATGCTCAGCCTCAAAACACTGCGATTTCTCGACGCAGCCTCGAGATACCCCCTAGTTTTCCTCGAAATATCCCCGTTGTGATGGCGACTCCCTCCCTCTTCAAAGCGTTTAATTTGCTGGAGATTTCAAAAAAGCATCGACGCGCATTGAGCAGTGAATCGCTGCTCCAATCCTCCTTCCACACGACGCAATACTTCAATCCAGAGTTCGACCCCACTTCGGAAGAAACAGAACCTGCTGGAATTCGATCGATTCTCCACGAACGACTTCTTGAAGCACTGGAGGCTTCCATATTCGAGGAAAAGGACATTGTGCTGATTCTTGATAAAGTGACTGGTTGTGTTTCTTTTGTGAGTCTAGCCGGGACTTCGAATGGTGAATCAGCTCGTGTTCAATAAGAGCGAATTGAAGAAGTGTGGCATCACAGTCATCCAATCCATCCACTCGAATAAGCGTCACGCCTACCCGAAATGCCAGGCGGTGTATGTAATCGATCCATTGTATCGAGAGGTATACCGTTGTGCGTGTTCGTGTGAGAGTGTAGAATGGCGTCACCTCGCTCGATTTGTGCATCTTCGACCTCGTTTCACAGCCCAAGCACTTCGAAAGCGCATCGATTTTGCTGTTAGCTCGCTTGCCAAAAGCGATCGAAGAGAAGAAGATCTGGGTTATGGTTTGAAACAAACAGTAAGAACTAGCAAAACCGCGTTCTTCTTCGTTCGCTTCGACTCCCGCCGGCGGTAATCAGTGGCAACACCGAAGTCATCAGCGACGATTTGGTGCTACTCAATGTCTTTGTACCAACTTGCAAGTTGATATTGACCCAAGAACTCTCCTTCTCTCTTCTTCACTCCCTCCCATTTCGACTATCCACAGTTGATCGATCGTGTGGCCACCAATCTCTGCTCGTTTCTGGTCAGCATCAACGAGTACCCATACTTCCGCTTTGACTGCGATGACCCGCTCACCGCGCAGATCGCAGCCAAAGCGTTTTTGAATCTGGAAGAGCGAGTTCGCTACGACGCCGATTTCTGGTTTCGCGGCTGCATGGATATCCACAATCGATCGACGGTGCTGATTGTATCGCGCAAATCGGATATGATCACTCCCTTTTTGCACTCTGTTGCCTACGAAGCGATGATGCACGACTACTTTCATGTGGGACATGATGGGAAGCTCTCCATGATCCCACACCAAGCGTTGTCTTTTCTATCGGGTGGTTTGCCTTCGTCGGTCGATGTGAATGAGTCCAGTTCTCTTTGGAATTCGATTCGAGACCTTCGCTATGAGCGTACTTTGATGGGTGATGAATGAAGGAAAGATGCGCGCGAGAAGGTGGATTCCCTCATTTCCAACTGCGAAAAATCGTTAGAAATTAACAATCAGAAGAGCTCCCCGATTCGTTCTCTCAACATCATCGTACACCCCTTTCCATCTTGAATTTTGATTTTCCAGAGTCGGAATCTCGAAACGGCTCTCACCTTCCGAGAATCGTGCGATCTCCACTTGAGTGCTCTCAACGTGTTAAGTCGCATCGATAACGTTTCCCTTTCTTCCCAATTGTCTAATGATCAGCTCTACCATCTCAAGCAGCTTTGCAGTCTCGAGCAAACGCTCTCTTCCTCCTGGCTTCCTTCGGGCGGACAGCTCACCCTCGAGGAATTGCTTCCGATGGTGCAGCGAATGCTCATCGACACGACGCTCGGCGAGTTGGAAAAGCTTCGACTGCTTCTCATCACTCTCTTCTCCTATCCCTTTCTTCTTGGAACGCAGCAATGGAGCGCGTTGGTACTGTCTGCGAAAATCCAGAGTGTGGACTTTGCTCGCGCGTTGACTACTGCTGAGTTTGCAAAGAGCCTTGTGTGTGATGTAGACATATTGCTGGCGAGATGCGATCGAGCGTGTACTCCATGTCGTACAGACAACGAACCGCCGACCGTTGCGATGCAAAGCACTCCTTAGAGGATATTGTTTACATTCGCAACGTGCCCTATGTGGCAAACATCATTCGAATGATATCAGAAGACTACTTGTCTCGAAAGCAATACCCTTTTATCCTCAAGCCTCCAATCGATTACGACATTAGGGATAAAAAGCCAGAAAACGAGATTCAGCCAGAAATCTTGGAGGATTTCACTCCGAAGAGACACCGTCGTCTCATTTTGGTAGTTGTGGGAGGCATAACCTACACGGAGCTCCATCACTTGCGATCCTTATCCAAGGCATTGAAGCAGCAACTCATCGTTGTCAGCACTTCTCTTTTGAATCCTCATTCGTTTATTTCCTCCCTCTCGGAAATGAACTGGAGTGATTCCTGATTTTTTTGATACCGTCCCTCTATTCGACTCTCTCCCTTTTTGCGATCGTCTTTTACTACCCGAAATCACCTTCATATGTTTGTTGTACAAACATTATGAATATCCTAAATGATGCTTATTTAGGCGCTGTTACGGCCATTTCATTCTCTTTAGATTCGAAATACGTTGTCTATGGTGGTTTGTGGCCGAGTCAGCTCAGCTTTAGGTTCTGGAACATTTATTCATATCTGCGAAAACAAATCCTTCCAGAAGGTGAGTACTATTCGAGCGCTGCATAATTCCTTGATTCACGGAATTCGCTTTTGTTTGAATTTGATGGTGTGGTAATGTCTAGATAAATCCAAACTGTGCGTTTTTGGAAACAAAGAGTTCGTATTGTTCGATTGGGACGCCCTCGAGTCCAATGAATTCGCCCCCTGCGAACCTGAATACAAAATGACCGGTTTTATCGATTGGATTTGGGACATTGCATTTATGGACAGTCCTGCCGATCGTCTCCCCTCTCTCCTGATAGGCACAGCCCACAACACCGTCATCCAGTGGAATCCAAACACGAACACAGCCGATCACTTCTATTACGGTCACGACCGCTGCATCCTGTACAGCATGTCCATTCTCCCTCTGCACGGCGACTTCCTCATCGCTTCCGGTACCGTCTTCACCGAAGTCCACGTCTGGCGTCTCTCCGCACCGGAGCACACCCTCGTCTGTCGCCAGCACGCGGGAGTGATCTTCAAACTGCGCTGGAGCGAGGACGGTCGCTACCTTCTCTCCGTCTCGGACGATCGCTCTCTGATCGTCTGGCGGCACTCTTCCTCCACGCAGCCATGGAATTCCATCGAACCCACCTCCATCGACGCCCTCCTCCAAGGCTCCTATTCCCCGTTTCTCCGCCTCTACGGCCATCGCGCGCGTCTCTGGGACTGCCTCTTCGTTTCCACGTTTCTCCTTTCCACGTCGGAAGACTGCTCGGTTCGGCTGTGGAATGAAAAAGGCGTCTGCGTGGCGGTTTTGGAGGGACACAAAGGGAAACATGTGTGGTGCGCGGCGTTTGATTCGAGGAGCGGAATCGCGGTTACCGGCGGGAACGACGGTGCGGTGAAGATCTGGGACATTCCCACGATCACGAGCACTGCCGAGTCGTCCGTGCGGAGTTTCGTGATTCCGTCGATGGCGAAGGAAGACGCGGAATTCGATCGAAAAGCGGTGCGAACCAGCAAATCCGAGTGCATTCGCGCTCTCTGCATCTCCGAGGATGGCGAGCAGATTTTGATAGCGAGCAATTGGGGCTATATTTGGAGTCTTGACCCGAATTCGGGACTTTTTTCGACCCTTTTTTCCCCGGCAGAACATGGGTTTGTTTCCACGTTGGCGCTGAGCCAAGACGGGAAAATGGCCGCGTCGGGCGATTATAGCGGGGAACTGCGGATCGTGTCGGTGGACCAGCGCTTTCCCGCGATTACAGAGAAGATCGGGACGATCCGAATCGGACGCATTTCGTTCCACGAATTCGACGAAACGCATTGGCTGCTGTGTGTCGTTGCGGCGAACGGCCATATCACGCTTCTTTTGTTAGAGAAAACGCAGGGGGTGCTGTCTCGTTGGGCGGAATGCGACTTCGAAACGAAAGGAGCGATCACGTCGACTCTGTGGATTCCGGAGCATCGCGTTCTCTGTGCTGGCGACAGTGTTGGAGGCGTGCAGCTCATGAAAATGGTGGGATCCCACGAGGCGCGCTATCTTCGAAAATGTCACGCTTGTGCGCCTGTGTGCGCTCTCGTTCTCCACGAAAACAACACGTTGTGGACAGGCGGCCATGACGGCAAGCTCGTTCCTTTACTCATCGATTGGGATTCGTTTTCGATCACACGCGACACAGCCATTCCCATTCCTCATATCAAACAAATCTTCTCCATCTGGTGGTCCCAGAACCACGAGCTCTGCGTCAGCGGCTTCCACGAGTCCGAGTATCTCGTCTGGGACGTTTCCAACGCCTGCGAGGTCCTCTCCGTCCCCGCGGGAGGCTGGAAGCGCCCCTTCGCCTCGCACTCGGCCGCCTCGCACCCTTCCCACGGCTTCCTCTTCGCCTTCGCGGCGGCGAACGGGTTTTCGCGCGTCTCCGTGTTCCAGCGCAGCCAGCCGCATAGTGCCCGGCTGATCCCCGCGGTGAGCGCTCCCTCGCACGGCCGCGAAGTGAACGTGGTGCACTGGATCGGCCCACTGGAGGGCGGCGGGCTGCTGGCGAGCGGCGGAGAGGACCGGAAGGTGCAGATCTTGCGGGTGGAGAGAGGACGGTTCGGTCTGGAATGCCGCGTGGTGCATGCGTTCGAAACGCACTCGAGCTCGGTGCGAGGGCTGTGGAGCTTCGCGTAGGCGCGAGGAGGAAGGAGTGCGAGACGTAGAAAGCCGGGGGGAAATGGATATGTGCTGCTGAGCTGCGGGGGACGAAACACGCTGTGCGTGTGGGATGTGTCGAAGACCGGGTAGGCGAAGCTGGGAATTGCCGAGTGTAGCGAGGAATGCCGACTGCTGAGCATGCTGCCGGTGCGCGACGCGCAGAACCGAATCGAGGGCGGAGACCAGCGGTACATGGCCATTCAAGGCGTGCAGCGGAGCGACGGATCGGTTCTGGTGCTGCTGGGAGACAGCAAGGGGCAGCTCCATCTGTTCTCGCTCGCTCTGGACCGCTCGCTGCCGGTCTGCGTGTTCTCCGCCGAGGTCCACGCCACGCCCATTCTCTGCGTGGATCTCTGCGAGGCCGATGGACAGCTCTTCGGGTTTGCAGGCACCGCTGCGGGGGATCTGCTGGTGTTCCGCGTGGATTCGTTGCGGAATTCGGCGAATTCGGCGAATTCGGGCGAAGCTATAAGCGTGATCAAGACGGTGCATTCGATGGGGATTAACGATCTGTCCGTGTCTTGGAGGGACTCACAAGTGATCTGCGTGTCCGTGGGAGACGATCAAAGCCTTCGTCTGTGCAAGTTTGCAGTGGAAGGAAAGGATCTCGTGTTGCTGGACAAGGTTTCGTATATGGGCGTTTCGGGAACGTCGATTCGAAGCTGCTGCTGGAAGGCCTCGGGAGTGTATTTTGTGGGGTGGGAGCAGAATGTGGAGAAGCGAGTGTGGGTGAATGAAGGATTGGTGAAATCGGGATGGGTAGAAGTGCAGGTTCCCGAGACGAGCTGCATGGATCTGTTGGAGGGAACAGTGTCTGGACTTGGAGCGGTATGCGGTGCCATGGGTGTTGAAGTATTTGAGTATTCGATTTAGAAAGAGAGAGAAAGAGAAACAGTTTTACTATTATTCTTATTCTTATTCTTCTAATTATTTGTTGAAAACTTTGAGTTTGTTTGTTTTCAGAAAGAGGAATGAAGAATCGCGGGGATTCTATTATTGCAAATAATACTCATAATCAAAAGAGAATTGTACAGAGAATGCCTGCTATGTTTGACACAAAGCGCATATACGAGTTGCCGGTGCTGAAGCACAATATCGCAGCGGTGCAACTGATTTTCCAGACTGTGTTCCAGGAATCGCTCTCTGATTCGTTTTTGCAGAAAGCGATCGATCACAACAAATCACTGACGAAGCTGAGTATGTGAATTCTTGAGGGAGTCGTGAATTAGTTATTCTGGATAACATTCCGGTGGGTTTTGTGTATTCTCACATTAACCATGATGCTGCATCCCGATCAAAGAATAGCAATACTTTGGTAATAGACTGCATTTGTATTTTAAAGAATTATCAACGTCATGGAATCGGTAGAATGATGGAGAGATTACCCATGTTGTAGGGTCTCATATCGTAAATTCGCTAATCGAGAGAGCTCAAAGTGGACTTCATGTGAGTAATGTCGAAGTGGTTGCACAAGTTTGGATTGGATGTTGAGAGTGAAGGTGTAGAAAGACAATGGATCAATGGAGTTCTTTTCAAAGTGTGGGTTTTGTGAGATGAAGGAGAATGCTGAGCAGGTATTGGATACGAAAACATTTGGTACTATTACTTTGGATGAGAGTGATTGATAGAAGGTGTTCTGATGGGTAAAAAGGTGCAATAATTATGGCTTGTTTGTTTGAATAACGTATTTTAGGATGTACGTGTGGCTTGAAGAAGAAAGGGAGAGGGGAAGGAAGGGACAATCAAAGGATTTGGGAATTGGGGAGTTGAAAGGGGTGTTTGAAACGGGGAGAATAACAAACGAAAGCACAGAGACTCCTTAATTTGAGTGTGATATGCATATATGAAACATATGCCAAGGACATGAATAATAAGGATGGAAGGGAACACTTGACATAGTCCTTTGAAGTATATTAGAGTGGTGAAATACAGCTATCGATAGGCTTGCTGTGAGGGAATAGGGAGTAGATCACCCAATTTGCTAGGAAATCGAGAAATGGTATTTGTACGAGTTCCTCGAACATACTTTAAAGGGAGGAAGAAGTACATGAAAGGAAGAAGAAGTCTGAATAGAGTTCATGAAAAAATATGGTAATGCTATGAGCTGCAGCTACTTAGGTATTGTGGACAACACTGCCTCATCTTCTATCACCTTTACATTAAGCAAAGCAATAACAGAGCGCAAAAAAAACGCAAAAGCTGTAGAAGTTCGAACAGAATGAGAACTTTCAAGGGTTTTTCGGGCAAGATTCAATTTAAACCTGGTTACCTTAGTTGTTGACAAATGCCATACACTCCAAACAAACAAAGCACTCCAAGTGAAGTGGAACTGTTAAATATCGTCATAAACCCATCAATCAAGAAGGAAAGAAGTAGCTGTTGGGAACATAACTTTTCAAGTCAGTTTCCTATTGTCTCCATGACCGAAAAGAATGGGATGTACATTTTGCATGTTGGTTCTCCACATGAGGGATATTCCATCGAAACCCATTTAATGAATAATAAGATGCATGGAAAATCCTATTTATACTCGAATGAAGACCTGTTGTTGGCAGAACTGAATTTCGAAGATGGTGAAGCGCAGGGTCCCTGTACACTCTATGACACTGCTAGTTATGTATTTTTTGAAGGATTCTTTAAAAACGGATATCGGACAGGGAAAGGAAAGGAATATGACCGGGAAGGGAATGTGATTTTTGAAGGGTACTTTGGTTTAGGCAAACGATTATATATTATTCCATTGCAAGAGATGAGCGGATTTTGGAAAGAATATGACGAGAATGGTAAATTGTTGAATATAAGCAAAAGAAATGAAGAAAATGGTGAAAAGGAAGGAATTTGCTATTATTATGATGATAATGGAAACATAAGTCATATTGTCGAAGTTAAGGAAGGGGAAGAGAATGAATACAACGGTTATTGTAAAGTGTATGACGAACCTCATAAAGTGTGGTTTGAAGGATTTGTAAAGAATGGAAGAAAACTAAATTTGATTCGATTGAACAAGATGAGTGGATATTGGAAAGAATATGACGAGAATGGTAAATTGTTGAACATAAGCAAAAGAAATGAAGAAAGCGGTGACAAAGAAGGAATTTGCTATTATTATGATGATAATGGAAACATAAGTCATATTGTCGAAGTCAAGAAAGGTATAGAAAATGAATACAACGGTTATTGCAAACTATATGACGAACCTCATAAAGTGTGGTTTGAAGGATTTGTGAAGAACGGTAAAAGAAGAATGAATTTGATTCGATTGAATGAAATGTCTGGATATTGGAAAGAATATGACGAGAATGGTAAATTGTTGAACATAAGCAAAAGAAATGAAGAAAGCGGTGACAAAGAAGGAATTTGCTATTATTATGACGATAATGGTCAAATTAGTCATATTGTCGAAGTCAAGAAAGGTATAGAAAATGAATACAACGGTTATTGTAAACTATATGACGAACCTCATAAAGTGTGGTTTGAAGGATTTGTGAAGAACGGTAAAAGAAGAATGAATTTGATTCAATTGAACGAGATGTCTGGATATTGGAAAGAATATGACGAGAATGGTAAATTGTTGAACATAAGCAAAAGAAATGAAGAAAGCGGTGACAAAGAAGGAGTTTACTATTATTATGATGATAATGGAAACATAAGTCATATTGTCGAAGTCAAGAAAGGTATAGAAAATGAATACAACGGTTATTGCAAACTATATGACGAACCTCATAAAGTGTGGTTTGAAGGATTTGTGAAGAACGGTAAAAGAAGAATGAATTTGATTCGATTGAATGAAATGTCTGGATATTGGAAAGAATATGACGAGAATGGTAAATTGTTGAACATAAGCAAAAGAAATGAAGAAAGCGGTGACAAAGAAGGAATTTGCTATTATTATGACGATAATGGTCAAATTAGTCATATTGTCGAAGTCAAGAAAGGTATAGAAAATGAATACAACGGTTATTGTAAACTATATGACGAACCTCATAAAGTGTGGTTTGAAGGATTTGTAAAAAACGGTTTTCGTCATGGAGAAGGCAAAGAATACAGTAGCTCACAAAATAATGTTGTAAATGTGTTTTGCGAGGACGGAAAGAAATTGAGGATAGAAATTGATAAAAGAAAAAAGGGATATCGAAAGGAATATGATGAACAAAATCACTTGGTGAATGTATGTAAAAGAGATGAAAATGGAAGATTCTACGGAATTTGCTATCGCTACGATTCTAACAGCAAAATCAGTCGAATCAGTGAGTGGAAAGATGGCAAAGAAATCACACTGCTAAAAACATTCAATGGGAATTACATGACGGAATATGTGAACGGAGTCAAGAACTATGAAGGAGAATATGTCAGTAATTCTGAGTTTGTTTTTATCCGAAATGGCCAGGGAAAAGAATTCGATGCGAATGGAAGAAGTGTAATCTATCAGGGATCTTGGTTTAGAGGAAAACGTCATGGAAAGGGTGCGTCTTATCAAAATCGAAAAATGGATTATAATGGAGAGTGGATTTGTGGCAAAAAGAAAAAAGAGTATTATGCCATGGTTTGGGGGCGAATCATTGTCTGCATTGTAGTGATTGTGGCTGTAATTGTTGTTACTTTCTTTGTCAAGGTGTGGATAGGTATTTCCCTCAGTGTGTTGTTGCTAATAGGGTTATTGTTATGTTTGAAATGGTATTTTGGCAAAATTCGGTGTGGACTCGATTATCAAATGGCAAAAGTATTGCCTGGGCCAAATCTAAAATTCGAAAACGAGTGCTTTCAATTGACTCGAGAGTTTTGGGTGCCAATGAATGTGGAATCAATCGAAATCGGCAATAAATGCTTTTCAAGAGTGAAAACATTCCAAATCGATGGATTGAATCGATTGAAAACGATCAAAATCGGAAGCAATTCATTTACTCAGGCGAAAAGTAAAGAGAAATGGGATTCTAATAAGGCAAGCAACAAATCGAAATCATTCCACATATTGAATTGTGAATCATTGGAATCAATTCAAATTGGTGAATATAGTTTCAGCGATTTTGGAGGCGACTTTGAATTGAAGAATCTACCACAATTACAATCCATTCGAATAGGAACAATTGGAAATGATTCTTGTAATTTCTATTACAGTTCATTTGTGATTCGAGGTATTGATATGATATTGAATATTTGAATGATGCATAGATCTTCCAAGTCTACAATCCATTACATTAGGTAACGAAACATTTGGAAACAGCAAAGAATACTGTCTGCATAATCTCGATTCATTAGAGACGGTTGAAGTCGGCAATGATTATTTTGGATCAGTGAAAACATTCCAAATCGATGGATTGAATCGATTGAAAACTATCAAAATCGGCAAGAACTCATTTACTCAAGTGAAACAAGCTGATTGGAATGAAAACTCATTTGTTGCGAGAGACAAGGCAAATAACGAATCGAAATCATTCCACATATTGAATTGTGAATCATTGGAATCCATTCAAATTGGTGAATATAGTTTCAGTGATTTTGGAGGCGACTTTGAATTGAATAATCTACCACAATTACAATCCATTCAAATCGGGACAATTGGAGTTATGTCTTGTAATTTCAGTTATAGTTCATTTGTGATTCGAGGTATTGATATGATATTGAATATTTGAATGATGCATAGATCTTCCAAGTCTACAATCCATTACATTAGGTCATTATGCATTCCGTGATTCCTTATCAACAGCAATCGAAAGTATTGAATGAATTCGAATGAAATGATTGATGTAGATCTTCCATCATTACAATCCATTCAACTCGGTTATGGTGCACTTTTTGGGAAAAGTGATGATTCAAGTTCATTGACACTTCGAAGTAATGATGAATTGATTGGTTATGATTTGTTTTGTAGATCTTCCAAATCTAACATCAATAACTTCTGTAGAATACAGTTTCTATTCAGCTCGTGTAGTGACATTGACAAGTATTTCTGAATATTGAATATTGATAGTATTTAGATATTCCAAATCTTCGAAATGTCAAGCTACCTGATTCATTCCAACAAGTTTATCATCCCATCATCAACAGTAACTATTCATATTTTAAGTTGATTTTAGATGTTTCTGAACTACTATTTCCTAAAGTCTATAACTACGATTTCATTCAATCAATGAATTCATCCATTACATCGATAGTTCTTCCCGAATGGACGTGTAATGATATTGATTATACCATATTTGATTTCTCGCGGTTTACTGTTGTGGAATCAATAGAAATCGGGAATGATTGTTTTGGATCAGTACAAACATTCAAAATCGATGGATTGAATCGATTGAAAACGATCAAAATCGGAAACAATTCATTTACTCAGGAAAAGTATAGTTGGGGAAAAAATGAATCGAAATCATTCCATATATTGAATTGTGAATCATTGGAATCCATTCAAATTGGTGAATGGAGTTTCAGTGATTTTGGAGGCGACTTTGAATTGAAGAATTGTCCACAATTACAATCCATTCAAATTGGTACAATTGGAAGTAGGTCAGACAATTTCTTGTATAGTTCATTTGTGATTCGAGGTATTGATATGATATTGAATATATGAATAATGCATAGATCTTCCAAATCTACAATCCATTACATTAGGTAATCGTGCATTCCAAGAATCCTTCTCAACAATAAT